CTTGCTCATTAGAGGTGATTGTCAAAAGGCAATTGAAAAGTGTCTACTCTAAGCCAAATGCATCAACCAACACCTTTCCAAGAGATATAGATTACAATAGTCCTAAGTGACACCTATCTTCTTTGCTTAGAAGTCTTGGATGAAACTAGCTTTTACATCTATGGTTGTGGTAATTCTTTGCATTTATTGTGTATAGTGAAGATGCTAAAGACAAAGAACCCCTAAAAACGCATGGTATATGACTATAAATTCACAATCACATGTACAAACTCTTCAAGTTGACAACAATGGTTGTGGAGAAGAGTTTGGCAAAGACCACTGGCTTTATGGTATGGCTCAAAGATGCCTAGATCCATATTTTCAAGAAGCTGAAGGACTATTTAACATTCGAGTGGGAGAAGTTGGAGAGCCACAATTGTAGCTTGGGCAAGAATGTGACTTACTATTGCAAGAGCAACTTTGATATCATCTATTACTACAATTTCTCCAGAGGTTAAAGTCGACATAATTGAGGTAGAAATCAAGGTTATTAAGGTACTTTGGTCAATATTAGGGTTGTAGCAACTAAATTAAATTTGATTGGTGTTAGCCCTTATATGAATTTTTTGGCCTCCTCCATTGAATTGAATCTTTTGAACTCTGGATTAAGATATTATTAACTTACAATAACAAATGCTATACAAGTTAGTAAAAATTAAGAGAATGTTACACTTTAACTTGTGCATTTGCATCTGGCTAGCATGAGTAAATCTTTAGAACATATTCCTTCTTTACTACATAGTATTTATCACTCATGTTACTCATAAAATCATTTTTTATGAGATTGTGAGAAGTTAGCAATCCTTGAACAATACTCTAGTCAAATTTCAAGATTGTTAGTAGCATATTTGACACTCTTTTATACCGTTTACTAGTGAAATAACCTTTAATTGATCCTATAGCCAGCAAAAGAAATACTAAAATCAATTGTAAATGAGTTTGCAACTTGTAAGAATAAAACCATATAAAACATAGCTAATAGTTTTATTGTTTAAATTGAGGGCTTTGTGGACTAGAATTTTCTTTTGACTTGACAAAAAGCTTGTTGGGGAAGCTCTCCCGATAAACATCCATCAGCAAAAACCCTAATTAATTTCTTCCTGACAGCATCTGGCTTGTTAAGAATTGCTTTCCCAATAGGAAGAAAAAACCATCATGTCAAGAATATTTCTAATTCCCATTGAGAACATTCACCTATCATCAATACTCATTAGAAAAATTTCTATCAATGGGCAGGTAAATAGACTTGTTGGGAGGTCCCCACAAATACTTTCAATGGGAAAAGCATCTTTCGGGTGGGAAATTTTCCCCGTGAGAGCTCTATTAGAAGAAAAATCTTCCCAGCAGAATATTATTGGGAAAAAAAAGTCTTGATGGGCAGCCTTGTTGGGGTTCATTTTCCCAATAGGACAATTTTCCATCCCTTTTGGCAAAAACAAATTAAGCTTGGGAAAGATTTCAACCCATCAAAAGGAAAAAAATTTCTCATTCTGGCAGGTTGAAGATTTCATTCTATTGTGGAAGGACTGTTTGACATGGCCAATTTAGCTTGCCACATCATGGCCATGTAATCAAAGCAAATCTATTGGGAAAAACTTGTTGGGAAATCTCATGTTGGGATCTCCTATTGGGAAGTCCCAACAGGAATATATATTGAAATAGCTATTGAAGGATTGTGAAGGATATCAAACTCAAACAAAAATGCACTCTAGTATGACAATTTAGCTACTCACAATGAACTCCCACAATTCACTCTCAACCTGGATTAAGGATATGTTAGAATATGCCTCTTCAATCCAATGGTTAGAAATTTATGCCTTTCACATACCTTATGGCCACAAGGAATAAACAGAGATTCTACTGAATATTTTCCATTATATATTCATTCTTAGCGTTACATATGACTTACCATATATCTAGTTTGAGAGGAGGATGTTTTTTGGGACAATGGTGAAAATTTTCAAGTTTTCAGTATTATGTATGATCTAAGAGCAAGAGTTACAATTATATTGTTAGTTTATATCAAGATAGAGAAAAGGGATAAAGAAAACTAAAATTGGAGTGAATGAAGAGATGCATCTGTTGTTTCAAGAGCATGGGAGAGTTTGATGCTCTGGCCGATTTTGGTGCTCGACATATTTGTCTCACCTCGAGCCAGCAGTTATAATCCTTAAAGCCGGGCGCGTCTGCAAGCAACCTTGCACACTCGCAACACCTCAGGGAAGCTGTGGCTCGCAAAACTGCCGGAGATCCAGATCCAGAGCCATGGGTTGTGCTACAATGTGGTCACCCCTTGCTCTTGTATCCTTCAGTGGACGCTCTCCTCAAAAACCAGGGCAGTGCTCAGCTTGATCATGCCTTCTCCTCCGTCGGTCCAGCGGGACACAGGTTTGTTTTCGTGGCGTGCGTGCTGGGGCTCGTGTGTGGGAGGCTGGAGGATCGGGACGAGGCTGGCGGCGAGGCTATGACTTTAGCTGTTGGAAATCCACTGACGAGAGTCCTTCCCCGGATTTAGGTCGAGGGGGAGCCGTGCAGATACCTGATGATAGTCAAGAGGTCGGGGCATTCACGGTCAATACAAACCTGTAAGCAAGCGCCATCCATCCCGTAAAGGATGGCGTCTCTAGTTTCCCAATCCTTCGACTTCGAATGATAATCCATGGCGAAATCCTCAAATCCGACAACCACATGGTAGGAGCTCAATGAAACTATTGATTATCTTCTTGAAATTGTATTTGGCGAGGCAACTATTTTGATGGTGGGAGCGCTCGTTCCTTCATGTAATGCCCTAAAAACGCAATGATCCCTCCGATCTGCACGGCTTGTGGTTGCGGGCGGTGAAACAGTAGAAAAGAAAGGACTAAGCAAACTTCTGCTTTGACGAAAGCAGCGAATTGCATTCCCAATCTTGCCTTGCGTGTCCTTTTGGGAAAATGAACGAACCAAGCCAAACTTCCGTCTAGGATCGGTCCGTCCTTCAAGAACCGAATGACGAGTTTACACGAGAACATGAGAACTTTTGTCTGAGCGAGGAACTTTAGTGAAATCTGCAATAGTGGACAATGGAAATCCAATTTAGATGGGATGTTGTAGACTAGAAAACAAACCTCGTGTTGCACATGACACCAGTACGACTTCTGATTGTCACGGCAGCTGGAAGAATGCTGTAGTTGCGAGGATAGCGCAGCGCAACTGTGATCAGCTAAGCTCGCAAAATTCATTACCCATGCAAGGAGAAAAATATCCCAGCTGCACAGTTTATACAGTTAAACCCAATCAACAAAAGCTTACACGAAAAAATTCCTGCAGAAGTGAGTGCACTACCTGTTACATATGTGTGAGCACATATGAAGGAGAGTTTCAAAGCACGACAAGATCTTACTTCTCCTCGCGCCACCGAATGTTTAAAACACCTCGTCCTTCTTCAAAGCACCAGCTTTAACAGCCTTGATTATTGCATTGGTGTCCGAAACGTAGTCGCCAACAACATCCAGTTGCCTCAAAGGGCTTGACTGTGGAACGTGATTTATTCTCGAGTTATGGCATACTCGGCCGAAAAGATTTTCAGCCGCCATGCAAGCCTGCACGAAAGACAGAATGAGAAGGGCGGAAAGAAAATGAAATACTGGAGCAAACCTGTCCCCGGACGAGTGTCTTTGCAGCAGAGATTTGCAAAATCGAATCCATCTTCTTTTCCATCTCAGCCGTCTCATGCTTCTTCCTTTCGTACGCTTGTTTCGCAAGAGTGACATCGTTTTCAAGGTTGAGGATCTCGCTGATTGCGGACTTGTAGTACGTTTGCAGCTCTGCCCGCAGCGCTTCAATGGTATCTGTGCATTGCTCAACATGCGTTCGAAGATCTTCGTTCGTACTTAGCAACGTAGAGTACCTGGAGAGGAGATGGTGAGTATCAAGGAGAAAACAAATGCCATGTTGATCACCTTAGTAGAAGATCATTGACTTCGTGATACTCCTCCGCGACCTCAACAACGGTCTCGAGGTACTTTTGATAAGCCATCATTCTTCCAAGAGCGTTCTTCGTGGCTATTTTTTCGTTCTGGAGCTGCTCTATCTTGGTCTCGATTTGTCTGATCTCTGCTTCCTAAAACCATGTCACGAGAGTTTAGCACACATTTTTTCCCAGAGAGAGTAACCTCACTTTTTCTGCTTGTAAACGAATCTCATCAGCTGCCTTTTTCTCCGCACGAATCCGCTTGATATTATTTTCCTGCAAACTTACAGACATGCCAACGATCGATCAAGGAAGGCGGAAAAAGAAGGAAAAGAAAAAACCAAGTACCTGCAAGAACTTAGAGAATCCAATGAGAGAATCCTGTAACTCCCGGTCTTTGATCCGGAGGGCTTCTTCTCGTCTCGTCAATTCGTCTTCTTTGCTGCAATGCCAGGAATCTCGATGCATTCCACCGCAAAATCAAGAGAAAATACCTCGCAAACTCCACTTTCTTCCGCTCCAGCGCCTCCTGGACTTGGAACATGAGGCGCCGCTTCTCCAGAAGCCGCGTCGCCGGTAGCGCCTTGTCCAGCGCCACCACAGTCACCTGTCCGCCACCGGTCGCCATGGTCGATCTATCAAAGTCCCTCTCCTGGAAAACGAAGAACCCTAAATTTTGAAAGCGAGAGAGGGGCAAATTAGTCGCAGCTAGAGAGAATCGAACCCCGGTAGAAAGTGAAATCTTAGTTCCAGGAGCTCGATCCAGGGCAAGGCAATGGAGGCCGGGAGTGCTGTGGTGGAAGAGGCAGCGAGGAGAGCTTCCGCCAAGCTCGAGCTCCCGGCGATCGATGACGACTCCGAGGAAGGGAGCGCTGACACGGCGTCCTCCGCCGATGCCGATCGTCCAATGCCTACTGCGGAGGAGCTCTCCCAGTTCGCGATCGAGAAGCTGTTTGCGTCACCGCTCTTCGCTTCTTCGGTTAGTTCTCCTCTCCTCTCTTGAAATTTCAACCCTATTGCGATCGATGGATAGATCTGCATTGATTCCAGGATGAGAAGGCTGCGAATTTGGAAGAGCCTCAGAGTCAAGCAGCTGATCTCAATGCCACGGCTGGAGATCTCACATTTGGCGAGGATTTCGAGAGGTATCCTTGTGGAAATCTTCGATCCTGGGATTGTTCTTCTTATGGTATGAATTGCAGTGAGGATATTTCGCTAGAGGGTTTGCAAGAGGAGCTAGAGAGCTACCAAGGCCGAGAGGTATGCCAAGAACAAAACCACGCATTACTGTGATTTATGTCTATGTTCTTATAGATGGTCGTCAACATACTAGGAAAAGGAAGCGAACTACGAGCTTATGCTCGCGATGTGGAGGAAAAGCTTCGTCAAGTGGAGCTCGAGTCTATACAGGTACTTCTTTCATCTAGTTTCTCGTGCTCTCTTTTTCATGATTTTTTGCTTTCACAGGACTACATCAAAGAGAGTGATAACCTGATGTCTCTCCACGCTCAAATACGGGAGTGTGACTCCATTTTGACACACATGGAATCGCTTCTTGGAGGTTTTCAGGTACTTGACTGTTACAGTACACTCTGGAGACATGATTTCGCATTCTTTAGGAGGACCTCGGATCCATCAGCTCCGAAATAAGGAGTCTCCAGGAGCAATCTATGACTATGGGACTTAAGCTACGAAACAGAAAGGTTGGTTTTCCTCTGCATTCTAAGTGCTTTGTCTGAAGTACCATATACAGGTTGCAGAAGTTAAGCTGGCTAGGTTCTTGGAAGAGATTGTTCTTCCTCCAAACATGATTGATGCTATTGTGGATGGAGAGGTATTTTGTTTTTATAAGCGAACTATGATAATTTTTTTGTTTCTTATTTCTTTCTCCTTGGTGGTTTTTATTTTGGCAGGTCAATGAAGAGTTTGTGCGGAATCTTCAGATTTTAAGCAGAAAGCTCCAGTTTATCGCCGAGGATCCTGGAGCTAAGGGCTCTGCCGCTCTGCGAGATGTTGAACCTGAATTTGAAAAACTACGTTTAAGATCCGTAGCGAAGGTACCTAAACATGCATTTTTGTTTCTCTAAAAGCTGATATTTCGTTTGTTTCAAGGGTCGTGATTACATTATCCAGAGGATATATGCCTTACGAAAGCCGAAGACGAACATTCAAATCTTGCAGCAAAACGTTCTTCTCAAATACAAGTATGTAGTTTATTTTCTCTGTCTTAGCTCGTTTAACTTGAATTGATACGTGTTTTACAAAACTCTCATACTCAGGGGCATTACAGATATCTGGCTACTTTTTTACGTGATCATGGAAAGGAGGCTTATCAAGAAATTCGGGCGGCATACATAGATACGATGAACAAGGTTGTAGCTAACTTTGAATTCCTATTTGTTCACGTTCCTGTCCTGCAGGTGTTGAGTGCGCATTTCAAAACGTACATTCAGTCTCTAGAAAAGCTGCAGCTAGACATCGCTACGAGGAACGATTTAATCGGTGTTGAAGAGCGGGCTGGTATGTTTTCCCGGGGTCGTGAAAACATGAAAAACAAATCGGCTGTCTTCGCGCTTGGGGACCGTGCTAACGTGCTTAAGGTCTGTAAGTCAAGACTTTCTGTGGAAGGCCTAAACTTTCGCTTTTTTATGTAGGAAATTGATCAACCGGCAATCATTCCCCACATTGCAGAAGCCAGTGGTTCCAAATTTCCATATGAAGTTCTTTTTCGCAGCCTTCACAAGCTTCTCATGGACACGGCGACATCAGAGTAAAATTTTTATTTCAAGTCTCATTTATAATTTATTTACTGCAGATATCTGTTCTGCTGCAACTTCTTTGGGGAGGATGCTATCTTTTCTGAAATTTTCACTGGTTTGTAAATTGTCATTTCAAAAGCCGTTTTTGATAATGACGTTGTATGTTTTGCAGGGCCATTCTCCGTTATTGAGGATCATATGAATGCGGTTCTAATCAATTGCTATGATGCTATTGGGCTAAAATTGATGATACGAATAACATACCAGCATCAGGTAAGTTTTTTAAATAAAAGATACACTTGTCACCTTGACTTTGCAGCTGATAATGTCCCGGAGACGAGTACCATGTCTAGATGCCTATTTTGATAAGGTTCGCTGCCCTGTTCTTTTTAGTCCTTTTGTAACAAACTTGTAAACAGTTGAATATCCTCATCTGGCCACGGTTCAAGGCAGTTTTTGATATGCATTTAGTGAGCCTTCGGACCGCAAACGTGAGGACACTGTGGGAGGATGACGTGCATTCTCACTATGTCATGCGGAGGTACGCAGAATTCACCGCATCACTCCTCCAGATCAACACTGAACATGGGGATACCCAGGTTGAAATTTAATTCATTCTTTGGCCTCTTAACTCTTGCGGCGTTCTAAACAGCTGGAGCTGAACCTGGAACGCTTGAGAGTTGCTATCGATGACTTGCTCGTGAAACTGGCTCGTGTTTTCAAGAAACAAAAGCAGCAAACAGTTTTTCTCATTAATAACTACGACATGGTTTTGGCCGTGTTAAGGGTGAGTTTTTTCTCAAATCGTACAAAAAATCTACTAAGTGAATCGTCCTCGTCTCTAGGAAGTGGGTGTTGATGGTGGCAAAACGCAGCAACAGTTTGAGGAGCTGCTCAAGAGCAGCACGACCGTTTTTGTGGTAAGTTCCTCGTTTTCATGAATCCTACGCACTGATCGCGTGAGACACTCCGCAGGAAGATTTACTTCGGGAGCATTTCCAAGCCTTGATATCGTTCGTCAAAACGCGTGGTGGTAAGATCACTATTAGTTTTTCTCAGTAACTTTACCCAGTGCATTTCCAGTTCTTGGCGAGGAATCGAGTTCCAGCACACCGCCGCAATCTCCAGTGACCGTCCAGGAAGTGGAGCCCCTCGTCAAGGATTTCGGCGAGCGGTGGAAGGCCGCGATCGAGCTCATGCACAAGGATCTCATCACCTCCTTCAGCAACTTGGTTTGCGGCATGGAGATCCTCCGCGCCGCTCTCACGCAGCTCCTCCTCTACTACACCCGCCTCTCGGATTGCATCAAACGCATCGATGGCGCCGAAGCGCTGAGCAAGGATCTCGTGTCGGTCGCGTCGATCATGCACGAGATCAAGAAATACTCTCGGACGTTTTAGTCAAGTAAAAGCTGAGTTTTTTTACCGTTGTTTGACTTTTCCATCTTATCTAAGGGTAAAAACGTCAGTGAAACTTCTGACCTTTAGTTTCCATGTAGCTACCAGAGGAAGGTTCTAAGGGACGTTGACCGGTGGATGCCTTGACTGTTGACCAACCGAGCACGAGAGGGAAGCTTGTTAGGTGGAAGATGTTGACTGTTCTACTTACATGTTCACCGGTTCATCCCCCTTGGACCTGGTAAAAATTCCACTCTTCTTTACCATCGATCGCCATGGCCAGGGCTTTATATGTTTGCGTCATCGCGTAGCCCAGAGAGATAGTTTGGCCGTTCGATCGGTCGATTCGATTGATTCCTCGTCCATCGCGAGAATTTCCTGCTAGCTATGGCGGAGAAGATCTTGATCCTTGGCGCCACGGGCTACATTGGCAAGTACATCACCAAGGCAAGCATCGCGCTCGGCTACCCTACCTTCGTCTTCGTGCGCCCCTCCTCCAGCCAGGACAAGGCCAAGGCGGAGTTCCTCGACTCGATCAAGGCGTCCGGCGCCACGATCTTGCATGTAAGATAGAAAATCCTCGAAATTTCGCCCCGATTTTGATGGCGTTCCTTTGGAATCCAGGGGTCTCTCGAGGATTACGCCAGTCTCCTGGCCGCGATCAAGCAGGCCGATATTGTCATCTCGGCTGTCGGCCCTGCACAGATCCACGACCAGTACAAAGTCATTGAAGCGATCAAGGAGGCTGGAACAGTAAAGGTAATTGATCTCCTTTCCTTTCTTTTCCCCTTTGTGGCTTCTTGGTTTTTTTTTCCCTTTTTGCTATTCCCATAGATTGATCGATGATCTTGGTTTTTTCTTTGCTCAGAGATTTCTTCCCTCGGAATTTGGAAACAATCCGGCCGTGGCCAAGAAAATCCACCCGGTTCTACAGGGTATGTTTGGTCTCAAGCTCCAGCTTCGGAAAACCATTGAAGAGGCCGGGATCCCTCACACATACGTTTCAACCAACTCTTTCGCCGGCTACTTCTTGGCAAACTTGGCTCAGCCCGGACAGTTCTCGCCGCCACGAGACAAAGTTACCATCTGGGGAGATGGAAACACCAAATGTATGTATATATGATCATGGATCTTTCTCATAGTTCTTGATCGATCGAAAACTTTTGGCAGTGGTCATCGTCGAGGAAGGAGATATTGGAACTTACACTATCAAGTCCGCGGTGGATCCCAGAACGCTCAACCAGGTGGTTTACTTCCGTCCTCCGGCCAACATCGTGTCCCAGAACGAGATTGTGGAGCTCTGGGAGAAGAAGATCGGCAAGACCCTGGAGAAGTCTTACGTGCCAGAGGAAGCTATCTTGAAGACCATAGAAGGTAAAGTCATGTCTCTTCCTTTCTGGAGGTCCGAGCGAGTTTACCAAAATCTTTTTTCTCTTTTCAGAAACTCCATTCCCCAATAACCTTTTCTCAGCGATCACTCACTGCATTTTCGTCCAAGGCGATCAATACGGATTCGATGTCGAGTACGACACGGCGAAACTCTACCCGGATGTGAAATACACCACAGTGGACGAGTACTTGTCTCGTCTAGTCTAAGAAACAAAAGAAAAAACTGTACGTGGTATTTCTTTCATTCCATCTTTTTTTTCATGGAATACATAATTATCATAATTCTTATTCTTTCTACTGAGTTCTAAACTTCGCGTGATCGATGAAACGTTGGTAAGCTCTTTTTCTACACGAAAATCTAACGCGTTCTTCTGGTAATGCTATCGTCGACACTGGTAGCACTTATCAAAGAAACCATAGGTGTGGATGTCTCGGATAAATTGACTCATGGTTGCCCAAGCTCCAACACAAAAGCCGATGATAAAAATCCACACCATGATCAGAGCATTTATGAGGAACAAAAACTTCCAAATCGGATAGTGCAAAGAGAGCTTGACGACAGACACCTGAAAGAATAGAACAGCTTAAAATCATCCGAGAAAGAGGTACTTTTTTTTCTTTCTCACCTTTTGGGCTTCTTTGTCTCTGTAAGCCAGATAGAACGCGAGAAGTGGTATGAAGTAGACACTGATGGAAACGAGCAAAGATCCAAACACGGCAGCTATCGTCCCAAAGAAAGGCATCGCCATCGCCACGAACCACACGAGAAGAACTACTGGCAATCTCGCCAAAACTTTGTAGGCGAATCGACGCGTATGGACGCGAAACGTCTTCTCCGCGACGAGGAACACAGGGTACATATAGATGATGAAGGCAATGCTCTAGAAAGAAAGGAAAGATCGAGCAAACGTTTCGCGTAAAACTTGGAAACCTGTGGAGGAAATCGAAAAAAAAAGCTGGCTTACTTGATGTACAAACATGGAGAAGATTGCAAATCTCTTCCAGTGCGAAGGTGGCAGCACGGCGAAAGCGTTTGATTCTTCCAAGAGATCGTCGCCGTAAGCCCAGTAGACCGAGGTGGAGCTCGCGATCGAGAGAACGAGGATGTAAAGAACTGCTAGCGGGTAGACAAATCCAAACTTCTCCGGCGAATGCATGGCTTCCAAAATCTCTCTAGAAGATCAAGTAAGTTTCTATATGTTAGAAGAACAAACTCTAGAATTGCGAGAACTCACATAGTTATACCATGTCCTCCAAACGCAAACAAGATGGTTGTGGCACCCGTGAAGAACTCTCTCATGTTTCCAGCTCCTCGGTGAGTGATTCCAAACTCCTGGAAAGAAAAAAGAGTTCTTTTGAGCTTGAGAATTGGAATTTGACCGAGAACCTGGCCGTTTGTTCGAGCAGCCACCGCGAGATAGACTGCTGTGATCGTAGTCGTGAGGACACCAATGAAAGCAGCAAATCGAAAGTGGCTAAAACCGGGCATGAAAACGCTCAAAAGTGAGAGAATTCCAACCAAGATTTGCCACTCGCGTTTGTGCACGTTGGAGTTGAGGTAATGCAAGTTGCTGCAAGAGATCAATCGTAAGTTTCATCGAGAACTCTTTCAAAGATTTAATTCATAAAAAAAAGGATTTTTTTTGAGATAAAAACCTTACCTTGCGGAGGAGATGAGCTGAACAACACCAGCCATTGCGAGAGCCAAAATGTTAAACACGAGTGTCAAATTTCCCAAGTATCTCCCGGTTAAACCGTAAATAACTTCATGGTACTGGTAAAATGAAGATCAAAGCTAAGTTAGTAAAGAAAACATTAAAATAAATAAATAAAAAACACAAAGCAAAAGCAAAGTTGTGAAAGAGTGCGAATAATATTTGCAGAAAGGAGAAAGATTTGAGACTAAGCTTTTTAATCATGGATAGTAATAATTTACCTGAAGGATGTGGCCCATTTGAAGATCATCCCTGGCCTCTCTTTGATTTCTTATTCTATACTCAAGATAGAGCCAAACGAGCAAGAAGACTGCCCAAGAACCAAAGGCTGCGTAGAGGATGAGGAAGAACACACCCCATCCATATCCCATGAAAGCCAGAGTTTGAGGCAAGAGCGTGAGCGCTTGTCCAATCTGGAACAAAAAAAGAGAAGACCCAAGATAGTTCTCGATCAATCCAACAAAAAATTGCAGTGAAACGATCCAAAGATCTTGGATAGAATGGGGGAAGAAGGAAAGCAAAGATGGAAAATTCCAGTGAGAAGAAAGAAAGATCACACAAGATGGAGCAAAACAAAGAAATCCAATTCAATCCAAACACCAAGATCAATCAATGAATCAATGAGAATTTTCCAGTACCTGGGCAGCGGCAGCGATCAAGAATGCATCGAAGGAGCTGGAGCTCCGCCATAGCAAATTCGCGGATGGAGAGGCCGTCCATTGCTTGAACTTGTGCATGATATAGCCCCGCTTGGTCTGGATCCACGCGCGCTGGCCGTCATAGCGATATGGATCGTCGCCAAACTCGTGGCCGTGGTGGCCCTGGGCATGGCGCCGGCTATCCGGCTCATAGATGTCCACCATAGCTCACACTCTCCTGTTCTTAGCAATCGCGAGAGAGAAATTCACGCACGGCGGCGCTGGAATTTCCAATCACGCCAGAGGGGAGATGCGCCGCTAGCGCCCAATAGAGAAATCTGGAAGAATTGGGATGGGATCTACGAGCGGCGAGAAAGAAAAACTTTGCGCGGTGACAGCGATGGATCTGTGCTGCGCTGGTGGCGTGGAAATGCGGCCCACACTCCAAGGCTACTCGATTTTCCGTGTGAGACGAGGGATCAACACATGGCGAGAGTACTACAGAGCCCCAAATTTTGGATCGATTCGGATAAACCCTAAAAACAGAGGATTCCTCCACTATCTCCAATCAAATGGAATGAATGGAATCATTCATGCCCAAATTTTACCACACTCGAAGAACCCTAAAATCGGGGTTTTGATTTTAGGGCTACATTTTACTAGCACTGGTTGCACAGAGCTCCTCAATGGCGGCGACGGCGGCTTCTTCCATCGCGTCCTCGCGAGCTTGCCCTGCATTTCAATCCGAAGGCAAGGGGATCGCATCCTCGTCCTCGGCATTCCTGCAGCGCGGCGGCGCCCAGCGATCTCTCGGCGGCGGGGTTTGTGTGCGGCGATGCAAGGGCTTTGGGTCTAGGGTAAAGTCTCTGGGGACGTGCGCGCTCTCGCAAATGGTGGCTACTCGTGGCGCCGAGGTGGAGTTTGAGACCAAGGTCTTCACCAAGGAGAAAGTGACGCTGGGAGGGAAAGATGAGGTAGGGAATTTTTTGGCATGCATTTGGATGATTGGCAATTTTTTTGTATGGTTTCCTTTCAGTTCATTGTTCGTGGTGGAAGACATCTTTTTGAGAAGCTGCCAGAGGCTTTCAAGGGGATAAAGCAGATCGGTGTTCTTGGATGGGGATCTCAGGTAAATTATGATCAACTTTATTCACGATGATTCGCTCATTTTGCTTTCTTGCTGCTGCATGAAAGGGACCGGCACAAGCTCAAAATCTACGAGACTCGCTTGAAGCAGTAAAATCGGACATTGTGGTGAAGGTGAGTGTAATCTACTTTTACTTTTTGGAGGGAGTGATTCATGCTTTTCTACTATACAGATCGGTTTGAGAAAAGGATCAAAATCGGCAGCGGACGCGAGGGCTGCTGGTTTCACCGAAGAAAACGGGACATTGGGTGACGTGATTGAGACTGTTGCTGGAAGTGACCTCGTTCTGCTGCTTATTTCCGACGCGGCACAGGTTTGTTTTCTTGTTTTCTTTTTTCTAGATTACTTTACCCTTTTTCTGTCAGGCTGACAATTTCCGTGAGATATTCGCTGCGTTGAAGCCGAAAGCGATACTCGGACTGTCTCATGGATTTTTACTGGGCCACCTTGAGTCTATCGGCGAGAAATTCCCCAAGGACATCAGTGTTATCGCGGTGTGCCCCAAGGGCATGGGACCTTCCGTGAGGCGCTTGTACGTGCAGGGCAAAGAAGTCAATGGTGCTGGAATCAATGCGAGCTTCGCTGTGCATCAGGTACTGCGTTGAAACTGTTTTTTATTTCCCCCATAGAGTTTTACTACGTTTTGCTTTGTAGGATGTTGATGGCAGAGCGACAGATGTAGCTCTTGGATGGTCCGTGGCGCTGGGATCGCCATTTACATTTGTAACGACGTTGGAAGACGAGTACAAGAGTGACATCTACGGCGAACGAGGTATGCCTAGTATGTCGGCACAATTATAGCTCAGCATTGTGCCTACTTACACAGGAATTTTATTGGGAGCTGTGCATGGAGTTGTGGAAGCTTTGTATAGAAGATACACGGGAAATGGAATGGCGGACGAAGCAGCGTACAAGAACACCGTAGAGAGCGTTACTGGCACAATTTCAAAGACCATCTCTTCCAAGGTTTGTAATACGCTTTCTTCTTTCTCTTAGAATATTAACCATAAGCATTTGGCTTTGGCAGGGTATGGTTTCTCTATATCGTTCCTTGAGCGATGAAGGCAAGAAAGAATTCGAGGCTGCGTTCTGCGCATCATACTATCCTGCAATGGACGTGCTCTACGAAATCTATGACGAGGTGTCTTCTGGAAATGAGATCCGAAGCGTGGTTTTAGCGGGACGGCGATTTTCTGTAAGTATTTTCAGCGTTCTTTAGTTTTCTCTCGTCCTGACTGCTACTTCTTATCTTAATGTTTTCTAGGCTAGAGGTGGACTTCCAGCTTTTCCAATGGGAACGATCGATCAGACACACATGTGGAAGGTCGGAGAGAAAGTCCGTGCTGCAAGGCCTGAAGGAGATTTGGGTCCACTGCACCCGTTCACTGCTGGTGTTTATGTTGCAGTCATGATGGCACAGGTTCGCGAAAATACAGCCGCAGAGCACATGTATCACTAACATTTGTTTACGCAGATCGAGATTCTAAGAAACAAAGGACATTCTTACTCCGAGATGGTGAACGAGAGCATCATCGAGGCGGTGGACTCTTTGAATCCATTCATGCATGCACGGGGAGTGTCGTTCATGGTGGACAATTGCTCGACAACAGCGCGTCTGGGCTCCAGGAAATGGGCTCCCAGATTCGACTATATCCTCACTCAACAGGTAACTTGGATCTAGTTTCTCGTTCTTCCTCGTCTTACTTTTGCAAATCTCGCTTTCACAGGCTTTCGTATCTGTTGATGCTGGAGCTCCACTCGACAAGGAACTCTTCGACAAGTTTTTATCGGATCCGGTCCACCAGGCAATGCAGGTGTGCTCGGAGCTGCGGCCCACGGTCGATATCTCCGTGACTGCTACCGCGGATTACGTGAGGCAAGAACTAAGGCACTAGATCGAGAAGAAGAAAAGAAAGACGGTACTTTGCAAGGTTTTGTTGTGTGAAGCAAGAACATCTACCAGGTACTCCAAAGTTTTGTGTGAAATAAAATGGAAGAACTATCACCAAGTTTAGAGCTTGTGTATAAACTTTTAGATGAATGATCGAAACTCTAGCCTCCGTCTCGTGGAATCGTGCAGGGTATTGTCTCGCGCGAGAGAAATCCATGCCGCGATCCGCCCCACGCTCCAAAGGAGCGATGTTTTCATGCACAACAAGCTCATTGAGATGTATGGAAAATGCGGGAGCGTGGAAGACGCGAGAGAAGTTTTCGATAGCATCGACCACAAGGATAACTTCTCGTGGGATTTTATGTTGTGCGCGCTCACTCGAAATGCCCAAGTTGACGAAGCGGAGGAATTCTTCGATCGAATCCAGGAGAAATCTCTCGTCACGCAAAATATCATGCTATCGGCCTATGCCCAAAACCAAGACGTGATCAAAGCCCAAAAACTCTTTCATAGCATGACAAAGCGAGACATGGTTTCGTGGAATACTCTCTTGTTAACATTTGCCCAGAATGGGTATTTGGAGTTGGCGGAGATTTCTTTCGCACGAATGCCAGTCGTGGACCTTGTATCTTGGACGACGATGCTAGACTGCTATGCCAATTCTGGAAATCTCGCATCTGCGACGTCCATCTTCCAGCAAATTCCGGAAAGGAACTTGATAACCTGGACGGCCATGATCGATGCTTATGCCCAAAACGGGAATCTGGAGGACGCAAAGAATCTCTTCGACGCTATGCCGCTGTGGAACTTGATTGCCTGGACAGCCCTTTTGACGGCATTCTTACAAGGGAAGAATATTAGCAAAGCCAAGGAAATATTCGATTTTATGCCGGAGCATAGCTTAGTGTCGTGGACGGCAATGCTGGCAGCATATGCCAAAGCTGGGCTTTTATCATTGGCAAAGGCATTGTTTGCGAATATGCCACAGAGAAACGTTGTGTCGTGGAGTGCCATGCTGGCAGCTTACGTGGACGCCAGCGCATTTTTAGAGGCAAAGCGAACGTTTCAGAATATGCCACAGCACAATGTGGTGGCTTGCACTGCCATGCTGGACGCATATTCCCAGTCCGGGCATCTGGAAGAAGCGGAAGCCATGTTCGAGAATATTCCACAGCGGAATCTCTTTACATGGAACGCTATGTTATCGGCATATGCTCGCAATGGGCAATTGGAGCACACCAAAATGATTCTCGAGACAATGCCAGAGCACAATGTGGTATCGTGGAACACTCTTGTTGGAGAATATGCCCAAGCCGGGTATATTCTTCTAGCTGAGCAAGTCTTTGATTTCATGCCAGAGAAGAATCTTGTGACGTGGAATTCTTTGCTGGCCGGATATGCCCAGTCCGGCGAGGTCCGTCGAGCCGTCCAAATTTTCTTTCAAATGCCATGGCGAGATTTAATCTCTTGGAACTCTCTTCTCTCTTCATATGCCCAAAAGGGGCATTTGCGCCAAGCTAGGGTTTTGTTTGATCGAATGCCAGAGCGCGACATTGTCTCCTGGGGCGCGCTCCTCGCCGGCTACGCGCACGGCGGCCACTCCAGCGCTGTGTTTGATCTCTTCGACGCCGCAAGAACGATCGATGCCGTGGATCCGGGCTGTTTTCTCTGCTATTTGATCGCGAGCAGTCACTCGGGCATGACGAGCGCCGGGAAGGCGTGCTTCGCGAGCATGAGAGTGGATTATGGGATGAGGGCGACGAAGCAGCACTACTCGTGCCTGATCGATCTTCTCAGCCGGGGCGGCGCCGCTGAGGAGATCGAGGAGATGATCCGGAGCATGCCCTTTGAGCCGGATTCCTTCGATTGGATGTGCTTGCTGCGATCGTATTCCAGCTCCAAGAATGTGGATCATCGCGGCGCTGGGGCTCTCGATTCCTGCCAGGGGGAGGGGGCGGCGTATGTCCACATTGCGAATTATAGGGTTCTCGGGATTTAGGGTTTTAGAGAAGAGGAGGGAAGAATGGAAGGCTCTCCAGCGCCAGCGGCGTTGCCCTGGCACGGTGGCGACGACGCCATGGACGAGGATTTCTCGTTTGACGACATTGATCGCTGGGAGATTGGCAAGGAGAGGCAGAAATTTCGGCGATACAGGTGTGTGTTTCTCTTCCTGTGAGAATGCTGGTGAAATGCAGCAATGGCACAGGACGCGGCATCTTCCAAGCACGTCGCTGCTTGCCAAAGACTTGCAAATTCCAGCCAAAGTGGAGCGGCGTCCCGAGCCAGAGCTTCCTAGCTTTCCCGAAGAGCCGGTGATTGACAAGCAAGAGTCCCCGGTTGCTGTACCACGAATCAAACATGTCAAAGAGGTGTGGTTCTTGCTGCTACTCTTCTCTCTTCTCACCCGCATTGGTCTCTAGGAACCAGATCAGCCATCTGACGCTGGAGAAGATTCATTTGAGCGCTTTGCTTCTGGCGTGGATACATGGCTACACGGTTCACCACTTTTGTTTTCTAGTCATACAACTCTGCTTATGTTTTCCTTTGACAGGCTTCACGTCTCTTTCCGAGCTCTTGAGCGAGTTTGAAGACATTTGCCGGGACCTAGCGGAGGCAGTCAGGTGAAACAACTTGCTGACAACGACTGGAACTTAGCAGCTTCTTCTTTACAGAGACGAGGCAGCTGAGAAGCATCGAGCTGTAGAAGACAGGGTTCTACGTCAGAAGGCTCAATTGCTACATTCCGAGGCTTCATCATGGGCACTTCTGTGGCATTTGTATGGAAAAGGTAGCATCGCTTATTACGTTTCAACGGGACTGACTTTATTGTTTCTTAGAGGATAGCATGGAAGACAATCAGGTATTTGTATGCATGTCTTCTGGTTTCACCTGATAAACATATTTTTATGGCAGAAAGCAAGCACATCAGCCCAAGTTGCGTCCGAGTTTGTAAGAAACGATGAGACTGCTCAAACATGTCTTCGTCTTGTTCAATGGCTCGAGAGTCTGGCGTCCAAGGAATTGGATTTAGAAAAGAAGGTAAAGCTCTTCTATGGAGTATATGCGTGTCTACAGACCTTATCGTTACAGAGGAAGGGATGGTATGCGGGATCATACACTCAAAAGTTAGGCCTGTGGGATCAAACAAAACGTGCAATCAAGAAAAATATTGGAACTCACTATGTTCGACATTTGGATCCTGATGCTCCAACTCGAGAAGGCTTACAGTTGCATCCCGAAGATCAGGTACTTCGTTCTTACGGGTCCTCTTCTTGCGTATATCGTATTTATCGCAGAAACTGGAAGATGGTCTTTTAGAAGATGTGTGGAAGCTCATCCGAGCTGGAAGAATCACAGAAGCGCAGGACCTGTGTCGCACGTCTGGACAGGTGAAGCAAAAACCATGCGCTTATTTATTGAATTAATTACAGCTATTTTTCATTCTCAGGCGTGGAGAGCTGCAAGCCTAGGTGGCTGCTTGACTGGTTACTCACCTACAATGCAAAATGCATTTAACGAGCGAGCTTTAGAAGCTATAGAGCTTGATGGAGGACTTGGACGCCAAAGGAAGCTTTGGAAATGGGCTTGTTTTTGTGCTTCCGAGGTATGGACTTTGAGCTTGTGTTCGTGTTTTCTAACAAGGTGTTTCAGAAAATAGCGTCAAGTGAAGGGGGGAGATATGAGAGTGCCGTTTTTGCTGCTCAGTGTGGCAATGTAAACCATATGTTACCTGTTTGCGCCGACTGGGAGGTATTGTGCTGTGTTTCTAATCTGAAGAAAGCCATCGTGTTTTTGCAGTCGGCGTTTTGGGCTCTTGTGAGGTCTTGGCTAGATACTCAAATCGAGTTGGAGCTTTCTGACCGACATCCTTCAAGCACGATCGATTCATCTTCCACTTGGCCTGACCCTGTTGTTGAGCAGCAACCTCGTGATTTTATCAACTTGTTTCAAAAGCTGTACTCTGGGTACACATCTTGTCTTATCATGAATTCGTGCTGACCTTTTATGTGTCTCTCAGTAATCTGGTTAGTGAAAGTGTGAGACGGAGCTGTAAGGAACAACATCGACTTATACAGGTAAGTTTCTTGTTACTTTACGTTGTAATTGTTTTTGCGTTGTACAGATGCACGTTGTGGTCTCTGATATAGCAGCGTTACTGGAAATGCTGAAAACGTGGATTCTTCCCAGTCGAGACGACAGTTCTAACATCAAGTATGTACGCTTTGATCATTTTGCGTTAAGCTGACTTTCTCTTAGGCCACACGGGCATCCTCAAATGATCCGTTTCGCTGCACATCTGGTTCTGGTGCTGCGGTCGATTCTTCCGGAAGGATTGAAGGAGCAATACGCTGACAGGCTTGAATTGGTCGGAGATTTAATCCTGAACACGTATGATTGATTGTCACTTCCGTTTACTTGTTTATGGTTGTTATTCTTTTAGGTACGTGATTTTTCTCTTCACGCAACACAAGGAAGAGCTCGTTGGTCCTTATGCCTCTCATCTAGCCCCGCACTTGTGCGTGGACCTTTACGTGCATATGATGGAGCTACGGCAGAATGACAGGTAAGTGGTTTATCTGTTTGTTTAAATCAATCTGACCTGCATTTTCATCAGCGAGATGGTAAAACGTAAATTCTTCTCCTCAGCAATGGAATATCTGCCATTCTACGATGATGGAAAAAAGGGATCCGTGTCGGCTATATGTAAGAGGTAATCTGACTCTTTTTGTAAATATTGCTCATCAGTCTAACTATCTGCTACTTTATAGTTTCTTGGAGAAGTCGCGTGAACTCAAACCATCCGTTAGTAATGTGAAAGCTGAAGACTCAGAGAGGGTGGAAAACTTACAGAAAGGACATTCTGTGCAATGGATGTGCTTTACTCCTCGAGCAGGTCTACCAGATTCGGAGCTAATGAGGATAGAGTTACTTGCTCTTGCTTTACAGCACAGGTATATGTGTGATATTTGAATTCTGCTATTGATTTTCTTGTCATGTGCAGTAACATTTTGTTGCGAGAGATCTCACTAACGTCACTATGGCGTAGTGTTGAGATTCCGGAAGGCTCGCAAGCACTTTTTGGACATCTTGCGGCACCATTAGGAGAAGAAGCAGATTCTGTACTTTTGCACGAGAACTACGACACAAAAGAAAACTACCAAGAGTTTCTTGATTGGGTACGTTGCTGCCTGGCTTTTTTCTTTCTTTCCTGGTATGTATAAATGTTGTTCTTTCAGCAAGAATACTTTTCTTGTGACGCACATTATCGAAGCTGGCTATCAACAATTGAGAACTTCAGTTCACCCGAAGAAAGAGCAAAGTCTTTTGCTGCTGCGAGACAAGCCCTTGACACAGCCGCTGCTTTTCTTCACAGTAAGTTATCCTTCAGCCTATGTTGTTCTCACATTTTTGTTTTCAGATAGCGAAGGAAAGTGGCTTCTGGGATCTGAAGTCATTAACGATGAAGCCTTCGAATCCGTGGAACTTTTTGCCACTGTCGTTTTATCGAGACCATCGGATCCTTACTTTGTTCCAGACCCTACAGTTTGCACTGCTCTGAACAGCGCATTGTATTTGTGCATGGGAGAGCTGGCTTCCAGTCAACGTAACTTGACGGTAAAAAGAACTCTTATCTCGTGTTTCTGTAATCTTACGACTCGAGTGAAACAGGTGAATGTGGCTGTCAATCCTCAGAACAATATGTTACTGGATATCGAGCTCAAATGTGCGGCTCTTGAAGGGGAAGGCATTGAATCACTTGTATCAAGTGATGGTGGATTTCTGTCAGCAATCATGGCTGCTGGCATTAAAGGTTTACTTTTCAAACTGGCCATCAGGATTTATTTCCTCCTTGTTTTTTTCTTTCATTGCAGGAGAACTTCCACATTTCCATCCTGGTGTTGCGATAGAAGTTCTTCGAATGGATGCGTTTTCTATTCACTCGGATGGTGTACGCCGGGATGCTCCATCCGTGGCGCGGGGTATTTGCCGTCGTTGCTGCCTTCCAGAACTTGTGCTACGATGCATGCAGGTGCGTCTTAATTTGCAATTCCTTGCCCATCGTGCTCATCCTGGAACTTGTTTCAGATTCGTGCCTGGCTTCCGGTCTCTGAGATGACAGCAGGTGATGATCCTGAGGACGATCTAATACAACTGGTTGCGTCGGGAGCTCTTCAGGGACTGTTTAGCGGCAGTCAGCTAGAGGTATTATCGCATTTGTCCAAACAGATTATATTACAGGGAAGCTTTGTACAATGTGCAGGAGTTTTTGTTGCTAGAACGGGAGATTGTTTTGCGGAGAATGGAGGCTGGAGAAGACGAGCCAAGGGTTTCAGAGGCCGAGGATATGCTGCATGAGTAACGCAGCTCTTGACATGATAACATGTCGATTTAGTTTCAGTAAATATTGCATGACGCTGAACAGGTCGACGATTTCAACCGCATTCCTGCAGAGAAGTACACTTCTCGAAAAAACAGGCTCAAGAATACTTTCCCATCTCCCAGTCAAATTTGCAGAGGCTGATTTAATTATCAGCATCGAGGAGTAAAAAGTAAAATTTGAAATAAAAAGAAAACATGTCTTAACAAAAGTTTTTATGTCAATTAGTTCTCTGGACTACTTGCGAAATCTTAAATAGGAGCGAGATTCCAGAAACTCGGCTTACAAAATTATGAAAGCGTACACTTTGACTGGAAGTTTTCAGCATCAGCCCAGACACCTTTTCTAGAAAAAAATTATAAAGTCGAAATGCCATAGACTCTCTTATGCTGCAAGATCTAAAACAGAACATACAATACAATACAATTGTGCTTCTCATTTTTCTTACAAGTTGTCAAGAACTCCTTTCACTTGATCCAGCTCCACAAATTTCTGCTTCACCATCTCCAAAAGCTCGGGATTTAGAGCACAGCCTTGAGATTTGACATGCCTCAGCAATTCGCTCATCGCTCCATAGTGTTTGTCCTCCGCCGCTTTAGACAAGAGGAATTCCAGGAGCACCTACACAGGAGAGAGAGATAAAAAAGATCACGAAACTATCGAACTTCAACAAACAAGAACAAACGCATTGATACAAACCTTGCTGGCTTTGAGGCGAGCTTTCCTCATCTCGCCGAGTGCCTCCACGGCCACTGGCCAGTTCTTGGCTACCGCGTTGGCCTCTATGAATTGCTCCAGTGCTGGCTCATGGCAGTAAATCTCCGAAGTTTGCATCTCTTTGAAAATCCTGTAGGCCTCGGACAGCAGATCGACGCCTTTTTCGTGTCGGTGCTCGGCTGCTGAGAGGATTTCCGAAAGGTGCGACTGAGGACGATCCTGTTCTAGGTGCGCCGCATTCGTCAGCCCGGACAAGAGCCTCGAATACGTTCCCTGAGCAAGCCACAAAAGAAAGTGTGTGAGAGTTTTCAAAGCACAGAAGCTGACGAGCTTACGGCATTTGGTCTGAGACCCCTGTTTTTCATGTCCCTGTACGTTCGTAACGCCAGGCCGAACATTCTTCTCTCGCAAAGGTGCTCAATCAAGATGTTGAAGCTGCCTTTGTTCGGCATTATCCCTTCGTCGTCCATTTTCTCCAGTGTGTTTGTGATGCCATCGTCATGCTGGAGTTTGGAGTACGCTTTTAAGAGCGAGTTGAAGAGTCTCACGTCTTGTTTGCCTTTCCGTCTAGTCTGGCTCTCGGCGGCCAGTTTGTCCACCATGTCCAAGTCGCCAATGCTTCCGTAGCCCCATATCAATATACTATACGCGTTACCACCTGGAATAAGCACAGATCTTGATACAATTGTTCTGTCCAAAACAAAGAAACTAGGACTTACCTGGCCTAACTCCTTTACGACTCATGTCAACAAGGATCTCGTGAGCCTCGTATACTTTCCCCGAACTGACGTACGCATCCATCAAACACGAGTACATAATCTGCAGGATGATGAGAAGGTAATACAAAGTTTTGCAGAATACATACCATGTCAGGGTGCATTCCTGAAGCTTGAATTTCAGCAATTGTCTTTCTAGCTTTCTCGAGAAGACCGCTACGACCGTAAACGTTAAGAAGCGAGCGATAAACAATCTGTAAAATAGAGGGAAGCATGCATGACACGAATCATTGAATCGAACATGCGTACCTCGTTTGGTTCTAGACCCGACTCTTTGATAGCTGCAAAAATCTTCTCCGCCTCTGCTGGCTTTCTCTTGCGTGCGTAGAGGTTGATGAGGTAGCTGTAGTGATACAGCGTCAATATTACACCTTCAGACCGCATCTCTTCCACGAGCGCCTTGGCTTTGTCTTCCATTTCAGTAGCACAGTAGACGCGCAACAGCGAGCCGTATGCGTAGGCATCAGGCTTCAGTCCCCTGGCTTTCATCTCCTCGAGTAATTCTTGAGACCTTTCATATCCATTGTGGATCTTCAAACAGGCGCAAAGTATCTGAAAAATAAAATGTAGGACAATGAGCAACGGAGAACACAGCTAAATTAGCTTACCGTGGAATATGTAATGCTGTCTGGATGAAATCCCGATTCCTTCATCTTGCGAAACAACCTGAAAGACCTTGTGACCTTCCAGTTGTTGACAAGCGTACTTAAGATGGAGTTGGCAATAAAAGGATTCAGCTTAAGCTCTTCGCTCAGAGAATTGTATACGTATAAGGCCTTCTGGATCCTTCCCACTTTACCAAGCAAGATGATGAAAGTGGAATACGAAGCCCCAGAACACTTGCCTGCCTTCTCCATCCACTCGAACAACTACATGAAACGTTTAAGCAAGGGAGAAAGAAAGGTAAAGAGGAAAGAATAGTTACTTCGCAAGCATCGTCCCAACGTCCGTGGTTTCCAAATCTCCGCAACAGCAGATTTAAATCCGAAACCTCCAGTTTATCACCCACTCTGCCATCCATTTCGAAGTATTAGCATTTTTGCTTTGCAAATGAAAAACAAAAAGGATCTGTATGTACCTCGTTAGCGCGGAGTCCAAATTGCTGGCATTCTGAACGACGAGCACCGCAGTTCGCCTATCCGCCCACTTTGGCTGCTTCGAGTCCCCAGTGACGAACAAAAACTTCTTGAAAGCACTGCTCAGAGTATTCGTACTCTTCCTCACCTCAGTACCCGGTTTAGCCTTCGTCAATTCTAACCAAGGATTATCTTTCTCGGCCCCTGGAGAGCTAGAGCACTGCTCCTCAGCTACCAGTGAATTCCTATCACCGCCATTGTCATTATCCACACTAAGAGTCCCAACCGGTAACTCTGTTCCATTCACAAATCCTTCGGAGCACGAGACCCTGCTACTACTACTACTACCACTAGAACTAGTTCTAGATCCTGTTCCTTCCCACTGTCCTAGACCTCCCAAAAACGAAACTTCTCTCTGACTCTGGGAAGTGAATGGATACCTGGATTGAAACTGGAGCTGCGAGCAGCACGAGTGAAGCACTGCTGCTGCTCCAGGCAGCAGCAGGAGCACCATTGTCTCCTCTACTCTTAAGAATCACTGCATTACAGAGGATTAGAAACCCCTAGGAACAGAGGAGACGAAAGCCAGCGTATATACCAAGAACCTCAAAGCTTCCAATTGAAAGAGATTTACAAAACCTCGAGTGGTGACCTGATGAGTGAGGAAGAACTATACAGTTGCTTTGCTCGTTTCAGCTCGCATCGGTGTCTGGCTTTGGATGCTCGCCGGGCTTGTCAATCACGACTTCCTCCCAATCACCAGTTTCTAAACACAGCAGCGATTCTAGTGAGAAAAAAAAAGAAGAAACGAGAAAAAAAACTAGAAAAGTTTTTTACCACGAATCTTGAGAGTCATCGCAACGATCGCATCGTTCTCCACCTGGTTAAGAGAAATCACGGAGAAATTTGGATCGAAATTCTACAAGGGAAGGGAAATATTTGCAAGCGAACCTTCTGATCAGCGAGAGTTTTGTGATCCTCCAGCACGAGCTTGTTGGCGATCAAGATGAGGCGCTGGTCATCGACATGGTTCTCGCTCAGTGCCTGTAGCTTCTGCTTGATCTCCAGCACGGTCTCGGAAGGATCGCAATGCAGGAAGTAAGTCGTCTTCTTGCGCTTCACTCGGATGAACATCGACTGGAAGAAGCAAAGAAATCCGATCGCAAGGGAGCGAGATTTCGAGAGGAAATCTTACCATGGCGCGCGGCTTCGCGAATCGCCGCCTTCTCAAGAATGAGACTAAGAACCCTAAACACGATGAATGCTAGCCTCCTTAACAAGGGATCTTTTGCTAGCGCACCGGGAGCTTTTCCACTCCACCGCGCAGCCGATCGCCGGATCCTTGGCGCCACCGTCGCAATGGCAGCTCCAGCAGTCGAATCGGGGCCCTCTTCTCGCAAATCGCGAGTGGTGGTTCCCAACTTCCAGGGCAAGAAGCTCGTAGGTATTTTGGATGATACTGGATCTCCAGACCTCTGCATTCTCTGCCATGGACTGCGATCGAGCAAGGTATGCTTTCGATTCGATTGCTTCTTCACAAGAGCGAGAGATTGGCCTCTTTTGTCCTCTTTTTATCTCAGGAGTCTACTGGTTTGGTTGTTCTAGCCAATGCTCTAGCGGAAGCCGGCTTAAGCACGTACCGATTCGATTTCTCTGGCAATGGGTGAGCCGATTGCAATGAGACTTTTCACGAGATTGTTCGTTCTTCGTCACAGGGAAAGCGAGGGTGAGTTTTCTTATGGAGGATACTGGCAAGAAGTAGAAGATCTTCGTGCTGTGGTTCTTCACTGGAGGGCTCAAACCCGGCTCGTGAATTGTATAATCGGTCACAGCAAAGGTGTGTATGTTTCTCTCTCTTTTGGCTCTCGAGTTTTGATGATCTTGGCCGTGTAGGTGGCAATGCGGTGTTGCTATATTCTTCCAAGTATGGCGATGTTCCTCTCGTCGTGAATTGCAGTGGACGTGGTTTGCTCAAGAGAGGCCTCAAGTCACGGCTTGGAAGTGACTTTATGGAGCGCCTGGATCGTGAAGGTTTCGTCACCGTTAGAGATAAACAAGGTAAGATCTCCTCGAACTATCAAAATGCATGGTTTCATCTATGTATTGCTTTTTTCAGGCGACTTCAATGTCACAAAGGAGAACCTTATGCAAAGACTCTCCATCGATATGTTTGGCGAGGTGGGAAAAATCCCAAGCAACTGCAGGTACTCAAAAGTTTGCCTTCGTTCTTCCTCTCTTTGGTTTTAAACTTTTGCTTCCACCGATTCACAGAGTGCTAACGATACATGGATCGGAGGACGAGGTCGTGACCGTGGAAGATGCATACGAGTTTGACAAGCACGTACCAAATCACACTCTCAGAATCGTGGAGGGAGCTGATCACGGTTATAGTTCTCATCTCTCGGAACTGAAACAAACCGTGCTGGAGTTCGTCCAAGGTGAAAGTTGCCAGGGCCGGGCCTTGATGTAAAAGGTAGTAGTCGTAGCCATCTTTGCAGATCTTACAAATTAATTCACTGTCTTTTTCCTTCTTGCCAGTAGGAGCGAGCTGGTTCCTTCACGCGTATTATAATTTTCATCCTATATGTTCTCAGCATAGAGAAAACCGGCATTGTGACGGAACGTCCAAGGTGACGACGCTGTCCTTTACCGCGGCAATAAGATCCGAAGCTTTGAGACCGACCATCTTCATTTCATTTCCCAGAGATGGAAGTCACAGGTCTGGTGATTGTCACAGCGATCGTAACGTTTCTTTCTGCAGTGAGCGCGGCCGAGGAGGTGGCTCAAGCTCCAGACTATGCGAAGCAATGCGCTCCGGACATAATCGCGTTGCTTCCATGCATGCCAGCGGTGAAGGGAAGCGGGAGTCCTCCCAGTCCTCAGTGCTGCAGTGCGATTGCGGAGCTTTTGAAGGACGATCCCATCTGCCTGTGCTATGTTGCCGCGGACGCTGCGCAGAGAAACGATCCAAACATCAACGCTACTGTTGCTTTGCAGCTCCCAGCGCTCTGTAATCTCAAGGCGGACGTCCACAAGTGTGATGGTAAGTGTGGAAGCACAAGTAAGCTCTTTGACAAAGTTTTTTTTTGCTTTCTCTTCTCGCAGGCTTTCCAGGATTTCCAGGGACTGGAATGGCACCAATGCCAGGAATGGGACCGGGAGGTGAGATGCCGCCGATGCCATGGATGCCAGGAATGCCACCGATGATTCCAGGAGGAGGTAAAGTCCCTCTAGTTTTCCTTCTTTTCTTCCTCAAGGCTTTTGCTTTGCAGACGCTCCCCCAGCGCCTACACCATCCTCCACCTCCATGACGATCCCAAAGCTTTATCATCTGGCAGTAGCACTCGTTCTACCAGCGATTCTCACGTACGTAGCGTAGAGAAGGTCTATTTTTTTTTCGTTTCTGTTCTGATGAAAGAACAATCCCCCAAGAGCTCTACTCTACGCAGGCACTATTTCTTTTCTTCAAACACAAACATGTTCGAGTGTAGAAATGCTAAATCGTCGAAATAAAACTAGTTTCTTACCATGCAACGCTCTCGATCAAATCCTACTTGTTCGAGCATCTTGTCTTTGATATAATACAGATGTTCTTGCCAGGTTTTCCATCGTTTTCTGCTGAAACAGGAAACCCGAGCTCTTTGTCTGCTCGCTGCCGTCGTCGTTCAGCAGTAGCACTGCTTGTCACGAAAGGATCTTCTGTTAAAGTCATGACCCGTGGCAAGTCTTCCTTGAGAGCAAGCCATCAACGCTTTCAAACACCCGTGGAAGTAAGTCCAAAATGGAGGATCCGGGACGAAGCAAAAGACGTAAGCTCTGGAGCACCGCAGGGCCGACGTCCGCCTGCTTAGGAACAGTTTAAGACCAGTATACGTAAACCGGAATGTAGTACCTTTTGCTCGAGTTATCGCGACTTTCAGACGTCGATAATCTTCCAAAAAGCACAGTGGATAAATCACTATATCCATTTCGTCCACAGTTTCAGCCTCCGAAAAGGAAATCTAGTCGAGCATTTATGCATGTACTTGACTTTTATATGTGAGATTATTCCAACCTCAAGATTGCAGTAGATTCTGTAAAAGCTCGCATTAGAACGTCAACCAGCTGACAAGAAGATTCGTACCTCTTGTCACTTTGGAAAGACTTCGGCAGGCTTTAAAGAGTTCCCTCGTTTGCCTATCGCTGTGAACTTGTATGGCAGAACTCAAGATGACATTCGGGCAATCTTGAACTTTCCGCAGGTAAAACTATAGTTCGAGAACCTGTAGATGGCCGTGGAGTCTCGCCCATACATCCAGCATTCTGTGACTCTGCGGAGACACAAGCTTTTATAACACGATATCAATGCACGAAGCATACCTTGCTGATTACAGGAGGAGGTAACAGTTGGTGATATCAAATTTTAACGCTGTTGACTGGATGCTCAAGGCTGGCCATTTCATTACTTTTGCGGGACCAAAAACGACCCGGCATTGGTGCTGATAAGTCCTGTAAGCTTCGTAATAGCGTTTTCGATTCTCGGCAGATTATTGTATAAAAAGCTCAATAGTCCCAAGTAGTTCGTGTCCGAGGTTATCAAACTCCTCCGCACGAAGTCTAGAAAACGTCGCGAGAATCTACCATGCCTGTCAAACAGTAGTGCAGGAGCTGCCGTTCACCTTCACCAAGTGTGAACTAACTTCCAGCATAGCCATATTGGTGGGAGCGCCAAATTAGTACTTGCCTTCCCGAATTTTAAAACACTGAGAGTAAAACAGCTAACAACACCCGTACCTGGTGGTCCTTGTATTAGCCCTCGTAAGGCTCTCCGTTCTCCTCAAGTGCCGCAACGGTGCTCGATACGGCTTTCACTTGAGAGTTATTCAAATAAGCAAACATCGTTCGGATTTGCAATGAAACACCCTGACAGTCCACAAAGTCAGTAAACTGAAGTATTCATAGTGAAAGAAAGCATACCTTAATGCACTGCAGCACCTCCTCAAACATCTGATACCGACATATATCACCAGTGAGAGTTCGTTCCAAATTCTCGACGCTGCTGCTAGCGAGCTTAAACGAAAAACCATCCAGCTACGCAAACCCAGCTTCCAGCACTCAGGTTTAGTGTAGAACTCAGCGTGGCTTCTTTGGAACTCCCAAGAATTTCTTCCACCTTGGAAACCAATGCTGTGGAGTTATGCTACTTAAAAGTACCTGGGAAGGTCCAAAGACCACTTGTGAGAACATGAGATGCAAGCGTCTCAAACTTTACTGTTTCATTGACAGGAAAACGAACGAGATCGGACGCGTCGAGCATTTGTCTGGTCGGAAGTTCTCTGTAGAAATCAAAGAAGGATGAGCGTCTCGATCGTGAACAAGGCGGGGATTTTCCTTGAAAAACTAACACTTACCTCCAAATCGGATCGCCGAATCGCCATAGCCGCTCTTGTTCAATGCGCCACGCGTGTCGAATCCCAGCGGCCTGAAACACAATCACTGGAACGATAAATCTACGAGAAAATCCTCCGCATTGCCACTTACAAAGCGAGCGCCATCGCTCTTCTACTCCATATCGAAAGAGATACCCTAAACCTTTTCACCTTTCTCTATCTTTACCATTGTAATGTAGAAACAAACCTGTCAACGTCATCACGCTAGCTTATTATTGTAGAGTGGAGTACGCTATGATCGAGCAAGCCTTAGAAATCCTTTCAAAATCACCCATTGTGTAAGAACTGGGGGACAAAGCCTAGCTAATGTGTCAGCTGATACAAAGCGTGGCCATCGCCATGCCAGGTAGTTATTATATAGAGAAATATTCCCCGGATTGAGTGATTTGCACAGGGTATATCCACTCCGCCATAGCCAACTTGACGGGCACGTAAATGCCGTGCCGGGCGTTGACGTTTTCACACGCGGAAAAGTACCAAATGCCATGGCGATCGGACGGCTAATACGCGGACACGCCAGCCGCCCGTTTGGCTTTTACTCGAGAATATCCGGCCGACTTTTCCGGCCCGCGCGTCCTATCTGGCACATCTGACCGTTGCCATGTGGCCACGTGGTCTTTTGACGGGAAGTGACGGGCAGCCGTCAAACACGCTCTTCCTATGCTGTTTTGTGTGACCATCCTTTGTTGTTTTGTCCACGCTCTCGCGAGGCCTAAAGCTAGGGCTCTTGGCAGCGATGAAGCGGCGCGGAGGAGGAGCGTGATCGATCGCGATGGCGTCGATCCTTGCATCAGCGAGGGTAATATCCCTTCCGGATCGTCGGCAGCGGCGCAGGATCGGCGCGCTTGCGTCCTGTGATTGATCCCAGGGTTGACAACAAGGTGCTGCCACTGTTGCGGTGGAAGAATCGGTCGCATATGCGGCACTGCCGTGTTGATCTTCAACGGTAACTGTTCCATGGCTGATCTTTGATCTTTGGCTCCACGCAGCGGCGGCATTGCCTAGGGGCATTCTTGGCTGGAGGTGTCATCCCTTGGCCGCGACGAGGATCGATCGCCCCGACGGGCAGCGCTGCCGCTGAGAAATATTTTTATTTCCCTGGCTAAAGATCCTCCGGATTCGTCTCCGCCCGTCCAGCCCAGGCTCTCTCGATCCGGGATGAGCGTTCTTGGGCGATGATGATTCAGGTTCTCTAGGCAATTCGGCGTCCTCGACCGGGAAGAGCTCGCTATGGCTATGGATTCGGACAGATGGTCGGAGGGGGAGCCTGGGGGCAGCATGAGATCAAGAACATGGTCAAGTATGAGAAGCAGGGAGGAGGGGCTCATGTCCGTGGACGAAGTTGAGTCCCCATTTCCAGGCCTCGAAGTGGATTTGTCTGCCAGTGATCTTCGAGAGACTGCCTATGAAGTACTCGTATGTGCGACTGTGGTGAACGAGGCCATTAGTGCTGCTGCTGGTTCGAAGTCACCTGGATCGCCACACTCGCCCGCTCACTTCGCAGTGCGCCGCCTCAAAAAGGCACTGACAATCAAATCGAGAAGAAGAGGCGGGGTGGATTCGCACTCTAGGGACCTCGACATCGCAAGGTCCCAAATGGAGATCTCCGAGCGCAGGGATGGACGCATCAGGAAGGCACTCTCGAGAGCGGCTGAGCATGTAAGACCTGGTCCTTTGACAAATATTGCTTGACTGATGCAAAGTTTGCTTTTTCTTCTTGAATCAGTCGGGAAATCGTCTTGAAGCTCTGCTGGTTCCTCTCGAGCTCCTGGCCAACCTCAGCTCCTCCGATTTTTCAAACTCCCAAGAGTACCGAAAGTGGCAGAAGCGTCAGCTGACGGTGCTTGAGGCTGGTCTTTTGGTTTATCCGGCTAGAGTTCACGAGAGCTCTGATGCTTTCGCAGCGCAGTTCCGAAAGGCGGTGTCTGACATTAGAGATAGACAGTCCAGAGGCTCAAAGCTCAAGGAAGGTATACAGGCTTTGCGAGCGGCATCTACGGGGTTGGCAGGGGGTGATGAATGCCACTGGGCGAGTGGTTTTCCACTCAACGTTCACCTCTACGATATGCTGCTCAGATCTCTGTTCGACAGCTTGGAAGAAGGCTCCTTTATTTTTGAGATCGACCAGATGATGGACCTGGTAAAGAAGACTTGGGGAATTCTGGGGATTACAGAGTTTTTGCACCATGTGTGCTTCATGTGGGTTCTCTTCCGGCAGTTCATTGTAACGGGTCAGGTGGAAGCCGAGCTGCTGAGAACAGCAGAGGTGGAGTTGAGAGAGGCCAGGAGATCTCATCCCGGAGAGACGTCCTTGCAATCGGATCTTCTTTCGTCGGTACTCACAAGCATACAGGGGTGGTCCGAGATGAGGCTACTTTCCTATCACGTACACTTTACAAAGAAGGAAGTGAGGGCGATGGACGGTTTGGCGTCACTCTCTATTCTCGTGGACGAAGTGCTTAATGAGCACGTTCTACAGGAAGCCGGAGAGATCAATAGCCATATAGCAAGACTTCGATCGGATGAATATATCCAAGGATCTGTACAAGCATGCTTCACTCAGGTAAGTCTCAATCATGCTGACTTTTCGGCCGACATAAAAGTTTCTTATCGTTTTCTGTTTTGATTCAGGTGTACAATAATGTGCTGGGCGAATGTGGCCAAGTTTGCTCTACTGCGCTAGTCGAGCTCGCAAAGAACGTAGCTCAGCTTGCTTCGGATGAAGAGGAGAACTTCTCGCCTATATTTAAGCAGTGGCATCCGTGTCCAGCAAGGCTGGCCGCGTCTACATTGCACACTTGCTATACCCGAGAGCTAAAGTATTTCATGTCGAAGTCTACCGAGCCGACGAAGGATGTGCTGCGAGCTCTGGAATCGGCCGCCATGCTGGAGAAGAAACTAATGCGGATGTGCTCGGAAAGCAGCTTGAATTCTGGCGAGTTCACTCACGGTAGCTCAATTGCTGCAGATGCGGCAATTGACAAGCTGGTAAGTGACTGGCTCGAGGAGAATCTACAAAAGCTAGCGGAATGGGTGCACCGGAATGTTCAGCAAGAGGCAAGTTCTTTTTTTTGTCTTGTGCAGTGGCCTCACGATAATGCTTTTACAGGATTGGAGTTCCGACGCTTTGCGAGAACACTATGCGATGTCTGGAGTGGAAGTATTACGAATGGTGGAGGACTTACTAGACGCATTTTTTGCGCTTCCAGTATATGAGAACCCGAACTTTCTTCGGAATCTTATCTCTGGAGTAAGCTCGGTTCTGGAGCGCTACGCATTTTTAACAGTGGCCGGATGCGGTAAGACTGCTCTTTTGTTTTCTAGCACTATCAAATTTGTCAAGCTAACTCTTGTCTTCTTGTTGCATTCTAGAGCCAAAGGAGGTTAATTTATTCTCGGAACGGAAAATCCTGACGCCGTCGCTCCTCAAGTCATCGTCGCTACTCAACAGAGTCGGCGAAGTTTGGAAGAAGAGGTCGGAGACACTGACACTGTACAGGAACAAAGTTTGGCCGCAGCTAAACGAGGCTGATGCGGGTGACGACGTCGCCGCGACAGATGTGGAGCACCTGTGCGTGCGCATGAACACGCTCTACTACATCGAGACACAGATGGAGTTCCTGGAGAAGAAGATCCGCTACGGGTGGCAGGAGCTGACAAGCGGCACCAAACTAGAAGCAAACGAAGACGTCAAGTTCTCGGGGGCCCGGCACTACTGTCAAAACGGCATCCAGAAGCTCTGCGAGTTCATCGCGTACCAGATGGTCTTTTGCGACATGCGAGACAAGCACTGGGAGGTGATGTACAGCAGCAAGCACTACAGGATCAAGCCGGCCATCGACTATCTCAACACGCAGCTCTTGAAGGTGGCGGAGTCGAGCTCCGACTGGCTCCGGGACCGGCTAGTCAAGCACATCATGAAGGCCTCGTTTGAGGCGTTTGTCCAGGTGGCCTCGCACCAGAGCAAGCTCCACGCGGTGGAAGCTCCCGAGGTGGAGATGTACGAGGAAGAGTTTGACTACCTGGTGGAACTGTTCAAGGCCGGAGGAGAGGGCCTGCAGGACGATCTCGTGGACAGGACCGCGGAGCCAGTGCTGGATTTCCTCAAGCTACTGCTCATCAAGCCGGCAAAGCAAGAGCAAATCGAGGCGGACGAAGAAGAGAGCAGGGACTCGTCGTCATCGCCGAGCAGCGGTGGAGGCTTTATGGCGGTGGTGGATTTCGAGGCCAATCTCCGGGTGATGTTCACAAAGTCGTCCAAGTCGCCGCCGGTGCCGCAGGGTCTCCAGCACTTGACGAACACGAATGTGCTCGCCACCGCGCTGGGCTATCGCTGCCATTCCATGGCCTCGAAGTTCGTCAAGAAGTCCTTTGATTTCTCCAAGGTTTGAGGAGAGCTGAGCTCGTTCTACAAAGATTCGACGACAACGAGATCGATAGGAAGACAAAAGAAAGGAGAAAAAAAGAGAGGGAGAGAGAGAAGCTAGCATTAAAGACCAGTGGTCTACTTGCCGACTAAAAACTGGTTGGAAGAATCGAGGCAGTGGTCTTGTATTGAATTTCACAAGAACAAAACCATCCCGCTCGTTGACTGGCCAGTATAAATGCGTTGACTCATTGACTTTTCTAGCTTTTGAACAAGAATATCCCTCTCGTTGACTAATATACGTTGACAATTTTAGGCCGTTGACCTCTTGACCATTTTAAAGCACATTTTATCCCCTGTAGCGAACTACCTAGGGTTTACGCGCGAGCGAACGAAGGGAGCAAGGTATGGCGTCTCTGGCCCGGCCGATCGCGCGCAGCAGGGGCCTCTAGATCGTCGAATCGATCGAAATATGTGGAGATCGAGATGGGGATAGGAGGCGCCGGGGAGAGGGAGATTCTCAAGCTCGGGGATCGCAGCACTAGCGACGTGATTGTGCGCGTCGGGACTCCCGGCAGGGATTGTAGCTTCTACGCTCACTCGGCGGTGCTCCGGCCTCGCAGCAGCTGCTTGGCGGCAAATCTTGCCAAGGGCAGCGATTCCATCCTGCTGGGGTGCTGCGAGGAAGATTTCGACTACTACGTGATTCTTTTCCGGATTTTCTATGCAATGCAGGAGGATTTCTCCTCTGGTTCCTGCGGGATCGTGGCAGAGGAATGCTGCAACGTGAAGACGACCATCGGCGTGGCGAAAGTTGCCACGGAGCTGGGGTGCGAGGCCATCGTCGAGAAATGCTTCACGTTTCTAGAGGGAGTTTCATGGAACGAGGGTGAGGAGGAGGAGATGTTACAGGCATTGTCCGCGGGCATTTGCTCCAGCGATGATCCGGTTCTAGCCAGGTTGCGGACAGTGGACAGTGCTGTGGTGCGAGAAGTTTTTCTCTCGGCGATCATCGCTGCTACCCGGGAGAGCGATGCCGGCGTCTCGATCAAGCGCAAAGTTTCCGCGCAGGAGCAAATCGAGTACATGCTGGTGGAAGACGACGACGCTCCGCTCATCACTTCCGACAGCCAGATCAAGTCTGCGTTTCGGGAAAAATTCTGCGAGCTCTTCCATCGTTTCAAGGACGTGATCACGATCGAGGGCGGTGGTGCTGAAACCTTCGAAGACGCTATTCTGGAAAAGCTAGCGGACGTTTCTTGGGCCTCGCGTGTTCTGTCGAGGCTTGGCTCGCTCGACGAACTTGTTTTGGCCTGGTCGGACTTCTCCCCGGAGATCGTCTTCGTCTTCCAGGACCCAGCCTTGAGCAGTGGGATCAAACTCAAGGTGATGGAGATCACCTCAAAGGTTTTGGAAGCCGTCGGCTATGGCAACGTTTTGATACCGCCAACTCAAAGGACTGGGCTCGTGAAAGCTTGGCTTCCTTTCGTGAGAGACATGAAGATGGTGCTGCTGGAAGCCGAGTGCGTGGAAGAGACGATGCTGCTTTACAACAGCATCGAGGCCGCCATAAACTCCCTCGTTTTGTCACTGCCGTCGGACGATCAAGGCGTGATCTTGGCCGAGTGGCTCAAGAACGAGAGGGCGAGCTATCCCGATCTAAGCGAAGCGTTTGAGGTGTGGTGCTTCCGGAGTAAAGCAGCCAAACGCAGGCTCAGTTGCGGCTAGAAAGGACTATTGGCTTCTCGACGACGGCTTGCAGGTATGCTGCCATTTTCTCTCGTTCTCTAATGCTAAGAAGCGTCCTTCTGTGATTTTTAGCGGAGCGTGTTACGTGGAGCTAGATTAAACCGCACTCGCCGATACTTCTCCGGAGAGATGACACGCCTTCGCCGGATGAGTTTGATTACCACTTTCGCGACCGAGGAGGTAAGCATCACCTAGTTTAATACAATACCTTTATAAACTATGTTCTCTCGTTTTCTAGAGAGCCCTGTCATCGATTCTTCCACGCCGATTATTCCTCGTCGTCGTCTACTTTATGATTTTCTACGCTTGGAAAGTCAATGTCTGCGGTGAACAGTTCTTATGGTGAGTGAGAGAGAGAGAGAGAGAGAGAGGGAAAGGTTATAGAGTCCCAGATGAGCACGATTGTTCTATAAAGACTTCGTTGCAAATCTCACACTCATCACACTCATCGCAATCTGCAGGAAACTCGTGTGTGGTTTCACAACAACACCGATTTTACTCCAGTGTACGCTCTGTTTTAGACTTGACAAGGTTCACTGTGATTGAAACCCACTAGAAAAAGAAGATTGCTGTCAAGCTAGGCTATAGTATTGAGGTAATGGCTTGTATCGACAGGTTTGAAAATTGTGAAGTATTTCGAAGTAGATGATATAATAGCCTGGGAAAACTTTATCCTGCCATTTTGACACCCAAAAAACTAAGAGTTACGCAAGCCTCACGTGAAACAAAGTCATTTCTAGGTGTGTCAGACCACTTGAGACGCCGCATCAGATCGATCTACTCCACTTTCACGGGCTCTCTAAACGCTTATAATAGTTTTTGAAAGGGCGAGAGAGTGGCGGTCATGGCGAGCTCGACATTTATGATCGTGAGCAGTCACGGGCTTTTGAATTTCTCCAAGCTTTTCGCTCGTCAAGAGCGATGGAAAGGCTCGTACTACGATCACAGGTCCACACGACGAGGTCTGTCAGCACGATCGAGCTCCAAATGCTATGACGAGCAGTCGAGGATCTTCCACAGCCAAAGGCCAAGCTTGGACTTCTCAAGGAATGATGGTATCACTGACATTGCGAGCTTCGTCTTCTCAGAGAAGAAGAGCTTCTCATCCAGAGTGTCGCTGATCGATGGAGTTTCCGGGCGAGAGCTCACGTATGGCGAGCTCGAGAGGCTCGTCTTCAAGCTCGCGGAGGGACTCGTTGATCTTGGTGTGGAGCACGGCGACGTTGTCATGCTCCTGGCTCCAAACTCGCTCTACTATCCTGTTGCGCTGCTCGCTATTTCTTCCATCGGAGCTCTCGCTGCTACTCCCAATCCTCTGGGAACTCCCGACGATGTCCGGCACCAAGCGATGCTCACGAGCGTGAAGCTGGTCATGTCCACGCGGGATCTCCTGTTTAAGATCGAAGGCTTGAGTCTCCCAGCGATTGTCATCGACTATAACAACGATGCTTCTTCCTCTGATCATGGCGAAGAACAACCCAGCGTTGTGCTACTTTCGACGATCCTGGAGAAAGTTTCGTCGGTCTCCTCCTTAAACTCTGGCAAGAAGAACCGGAGCCTCCATGATCCAGCAGCCGTGCTCTACTCGTCTGGAACCACTGGCATGAGCAAAGCAGTGGTGCTCTCTCATGCAAACATTTGCTCGCAGATCATGCAGCTAGCCAGTTCTTGCGATCATCAAGGCCCAGATCTTGGAAACATCATCGAGCAGGAGGTTCATCTCTGCGCTTTGCCAATGTCTCACATATTTGGCTCGGTGGTGATCACGCTCCAGCAGCTCTACCGTGGAAACCAAACGGTAGTTCTTCGAGGATTTGAGCTGTCAGGGATGCTTGCTGCGATCGAACGCTACCATATTTCTCACATCTATGTAGTTCCTCCGGTGGTCTTGGCTCTCGCTAAAACTCTCCAAAAGGTTTGCAAGCTTTTTTCAAGTTGCTACTTGAATAAATGTTCGTGTTCTTGCAGAACAATGGAAGCTTAAGATATGATCTCTCCTCTTTGCAAAACATTCTCTGTGGAGCTGCTCCACTAGGCAAGGAATTGATCGAGACGTGCTACAAATACTTTCCAAACACGTCCTTCTCGCAAGTACACTATGATCTTGAGAAATCTTGAAATCACAAAGAAATCTCTCATTTCAGATATATGGTCTCACAGAAGTCACTGGAGCTCTCACGCTGATCAAGGATTCTAGAGAAAATGAGAATCTAGCAGCTTCCGTGGGAACGATGCTCTCGGACATGGAGGCCAAAGTCGTGGACGTGGAAACCAGCCAGCCTTTGCCTCCAAATCACAAAGGAGAGCTTCTGGTTCGAGGTCCAACAACAATGATCGGTAATATTGCTTCACGAGCTCGCTGAAAACCACTAATTGATCAATACAAATCTACAAAGCTCTCTCGCAGGTTACATGAACGATCCTCAAGCAACGAGCTCTACCATGAATCCTCAAGGCTGGCTTCGTACAGGAGATCTCGTCTTCTTCGACGAGCTCGGGAACTTGTTTGTCGTTGACAGGATCAAGGAACTCATCAAGTACAAAGCTCTCCAGGTGTGTGATCTCTCAGATCTAGTTTCAAGTCCAAGTTCCAAGTTCTTGGCTATCCTTCAAGAAAAAACTATTTTTTCTTGTTTTAACAACAGGTTGCTCCCGCGGAGCTTGAAGCACTGCTATTGTCACATCCTCAGATCTTGGACGCTGCTGTGATACCGTATGTGATTTCTTTCCTAAGTTCTTCTTTGTTCTATCATCACCTCTTTTCCTTTATAGGTACAAGAGCACGGAAACTGGTGAAATTCCAATGGCTTTTATCGTCCCTTCGCTGGATGGCAACTTGACAGAGGACCAAGTGAAAGCTTTCGTTGCCGAGCACGTAAGTCACGACTATATAAACTTATAATTTCACTGTAGCACTTTCTCTTCTTTTCTATCTTCTAAAGGTTGCGCCTTACAAGCGAGTGAGGAGAGTAGCATTCACAAACGCCATTCCCAAAACAGCGTCTGGAAAAATCCTAAGAAAAGAGCTCGTAAAGCAACTCTAAAAGTTAAGCAAGTACTCGCAATGCTTTCTCTCTTTTCATCCCTTTGCTGGGATCTATAAGCTTTTTTACACGAAAACTCTCGCAAAATCCAGACTTATTTATGTATACCCGACCCGGAGATGGATTGGCATCACTTGAGCCTTTGTTCTTCGCTTTTCTCCGGGAAATCCTTTGTCGCTGCTCGTCCATTGCACCCTTCCATCGCGCTAGCTTCCGAGTCGGACAGTGTTGCGTGCTGGAGAGCTCCGGCGATGGCTGCGGTGGTGGGAGATGATCCTGCTGCTGCTGCTGCTGCTGTTGCTGCAAGTGACATCGTTGTGGGAACTTTGGTGGAGCACGACGAGATCGAAGTCGCGAGAGATATCGGCATCAAACACAGGCCTTTGCTCTGGAGGTATTGCATCGCTGAGCCCATGTCGTCCTCCATGAGACTAGCAACCTGGTGCTCTGTGAGAGCGATACCATCTTGCGGAGAAAGATTCACGGAGATTTGTCGACAAAGTTGTGAAGAAGATAGTAGTTCTTGGCCAGCACCCTTGAAGAACCAAGAAGTTATAGAAGAGAACATGGATAAAAACTGTTTTGATACCTCTAGAGGCAAGTCTGCGACGAGTGGAGCCATGGTTGCTCCAGCGCCGCCAAGTCTGCTCATGCTCAATACCTGTCAAAGAAAGGTGGTTTTTTAGTCTTAGTTCCTGGAAGAACAAGGGAAGTATATCACTTACCTTGACTTGGAGCTGCAAAAACTTTACATAGTCGATGATTTCGTCGAGCATCGAGGCTTTATCAGTCTGTTTATCACGCGAGTATATCAGAGCTCAGTGGAAATCATCCAAATGATCATATAAAGAAAGCAAAAAACTTAAGAACTAAAAACCAAAACTGGTGATGGATGGGATATGATCTTGCCTTGTTCGCGTTTGGGACAAGTTCCTGGAGAGCTTTCATTCTCTCGGCAATCTTCTCTCGGCGAAGCTGCGATCAAAACAGGTGAATCGATCACTTAAAGTGGAAGAAGCTTCTTACTCTCTCGGCGATGCTGTGGGGATCGGTGGCTTGACCACGGCGAGCTCGCACTCGTGGTCTCGCAGAGATTCCCGCGGGAGGAGGATTTACAGGGGCAACTGGAGCATTCGAATCGTAAGCTAGTGGAGCCTGAGACCTCTAAACAGCATTGCAAGAGAGAGACAAAAGAAATGCGAGACATGAACTAGAGAGAACCAAAAGAAAATTTGTAGAAACTCGACTGAATTACACGAACCTGCTGCTGATCTTGCTGGTGCTTCTGCTGCTGATCGATTTGCATTTGTCCCGCTGCTCCATACATCTGCGAAAAACGAGAATTTTCAGTGCTTCCTCCGAAGTTTTTAAGCAAAAGCTAGTTTTTTATCCAAACGATGGAGGAAAAGAGGAACTTTCTTGTGTACCTGTTGGAGTTCTTCATCTCTATATCGTTTCTTGACAGAATTTGGATCGCTGCTCGCTCCCCCATCGCCGAGTTTCGCAAAGCTCAGAGCATTACCAGGAACGAAGTGGTGACTCCACGAAGAAACTTGACCGGTGTTGTCGCTGTGATCCAATGTAGCTGCCAAGCCTTGGTGGTTTCTTGATCCAGCTTGACTAGTGCTAGCAGCTCCTCCTCCTCCCACCTGGTTTTGGAACGAAGCAGCAACGAGCATCTCGTTGCTCAGTTGCTGCTGCTGCTCGTCGTGATCCCAGCTCCTTCCAGCAACACCGTCTTGATCGGGCCAGGATGGGATCGAGATGATGTTCTCCAGGAACTCGTCCATGGAAGAAGAGCTGTGATCCGGGATGCTGCTGCTGCTACTGCTGCTTCTGTTCTTCTTGGCGCTTGGAGTGTAGTAGTCGAGCATCATCGCATCATCGACCCCCGATTTTTAAGCTCGTATCATTTGTGTCGGCACTGGGATCGCCAGGCTGCATAGAAATTCTTAGTCATGAGCGATATAAACAAAAGAATTCCAGACCAGCCAGATGAGAAAAAAGGAGAGAAAAAAAACCAGCGATCAATCACCACCAAGTGCGCGAGAGAAAAACTTAACTATAGAACACCAAAGACTACACACACACACGCTTTTAGAAGACCAAGTCCGTAGCCAAGACGAAGAACACACTGTCGCGCACACACAGGAAAAAAGAGAGTTTTGACGGTCGTTTCTAACGCTCCATTGAAGTTAAGCTAAGAAACTATAAGAGAGTTCTTCTTCTACCAGGCAAATGCTTTAATAGATCTTCTTCCAAAGAATGTAAGTACCTTGTCTAGTGGCGAAAACTTCTTTTCTTCTTTCTCGTTGTTCCAGCCCAGCTCCAACGCTTTTCCCCGGCTCCCCCGCAACATACAAACAACTGTATGCACGCTTTAACACCAAAAGCGGGCACGCCGGACCCATGCAAAAGGGTCCACAAAGGAGATTTTTTATCATTTCCTCCTCGTTTGATCGATCTCTCCCTCTCTCTCTCTCTCTCTCTCTTTCTATCGGGAGATCTTTTTAAGAAGAACTAAAAATCCAATTCCTCTCGTCAGAGCAGCCATTCTTTCCTTTTCTCTCGATCGCACGACGCTTAGCTAGAACTGTCGAGAGAAACCCAAAAAAAAACACAAGAAGAAGCCTCGCAACTCAAAACAAACAAAGAACTTGGGGAGCAAGAACCTAGTTCTTGTGTGGCTGGAACCAAGACACCCAAACAAAATGCTTCCACCGACGCTAAAAACCTCGGCCCTCGACACGGAAAAATTTTAACTTCCGGGATTGAATGCTTGATACTTAGAACCAAGAAAAATCCGCCATTATTTTTGTTCTTGGGTTGTGTTTGATCTGATAGTGGGAATTGAGTAGAGTGTTGTGCATGGATTTTTTTAAGCTTGGACAGATGGTGGTCGGCCACTCCCTGAAGGAATTGTTCATTCCTTGTCATATGTATGTATCTTGCTCGCTCACACAAGATTGTGCAAAATTCTCTCACTTTTTTTTTTTTTTTTTTTGCATTATTTTGCTTCCTGCTGCTTCTGTGTTCTTGCATCATTGAGAAGGGCTGGAGATATCAATTGGCTTGTGACATGCTCAAGAAGCCCTCTTTTTATTTGTGAGTTTTTTACTAGTCCATCAACTTTTGTAGTTATTTCTTTCAGGTGTTCCAATGGGTGCAATCCTGGTGTTTGCAAGATAGATCCATCAGTCCTTAGCAGAAATTAGCATAAAAAACGCTAAAAAACTACGGAAAAATCAATCACTCTCCTGGACTTTGCAAGGTCCCACGGCTCAAAATTCTTGTTGCGCGTACCTCTCTGTTCATCAGGTCATGTCTACAAGTCCTCTACACCATGATTTTGTCTTGCAAGAAGCTCCATATACAATACATTCCCAGAGGGAAAGAGGGGAAACCTCATCAATCAATATCAATTTCAATGGATTTTGGGGTGGCAAGCTTTCAATGCCCTGAATTTTTTATGTGTCATGTTGGCAGTGGCAACACCATAAGCTACAAGAACTTTAGGCTAGAAAAGAAAGGAAGGACCACTCTTCCACACTCATTCCCCATGATTCCAAAGATCAGATCTTTAGGCATGGAAGAAAGAAGAGAAGAGAGGACAGAGAAGGAAGAAAACTCCACTCCCTCCCAAAAATCATAGACTTCATGGATTTGAGTAAAAATTTGGCCTCCAGAGATTCTCCAGGGAGCTCTAGCTTGTAGTGGTGTCTTATCATTTCATCTCCAAATCCAGGGAATTTGATTAAGAGATTACTTAAACTAACATTAAACCCTAAACATTACTAACCCTATTAACCGGGATTAACCTAAACGAATCTACTTTTTACTGGAATATTTTCAGGCGGTGCCAGGAATCGAAGACAGGATGCCCTGTACTGGCCGTTGCCCAACGGCTCGCCCTTTGAATTAACAAAGAGTTTAATTTTTTTAATGGGAAGGCGGGGCGCCAGGATATAGGGGAGGGAGGGAGGGCGAGGAGAGGGAAAGGCAAAGCCCTAATCGATTCCAATCCTAGCTCGCGGCGGCGCTGTGATCCATTCCAGGGGCGATTTTTTCTCTGCTCTCTCGATCGATCGGAGGCGAGATGGCGGCAGCGAGCATTGGCATGATGGATGGCGCCTATTTCGTGGGGCGGAACGAGATCCTGGGATGGGTGAATTCGATTCTGCAGCTCAATCTCAGCAAAGTGGAAGAGGTAAGAGCTCCGCTCTCTCTCGAATCGATTGGTTGATTGATGATTGATGAAGGAAATGGAGATAGTGTAGCTCATTATTTTTATTTCTCTTTGTTATAGGCTTCGTCAGGTGCTGTGTATTGCCAGCTGATAGATGCCACGCACCCTGGAGTTGTAGCGATGCATAAGGTTTGTTTTACTATTAGCTACGAAGAATGGATTGGATTTATCTTTTTTTTTGTGATCTAGGTGAATTTTGATGCGAAGAACGAGTATGAGATGATACAGAACTACAAAGTTCTCCAAGAGGTTTTCAACAAGCTCAAGATAAGCAAGGTTGGTTCTCATGCTCGAGTATTTCGGGAATTCACTCTGGAACTTTTATCTACAGCATATCGAGGTGGCAAAGTTGATGAAGGGACGACCGCTGGACAATTTGGAGTTTATGCAATGGCTGAAACGTTACTGCGATTCTGTCCATGGAAGACCAAGGTACGTACAATCGCTTAGAGATTTTTCATCAGCTCAAAAACAAGATTTTCAGCTATAACGCCGCGGAGAGACGAGAGATGGCGAAGGGAGGGAAGGAAGCGAATCGAAAAACTCTTTCTTCCAGTTCATCTAATCTAGCTACCTCGAAATCATCTAATAACCTCGCGAGAACACCGTCTAGTGCAATCCGAAAACTGGAGAGTCTCCAAAACTCCGGTAAGTTGATCATCATTCTTTTCTTTGTCAAAACCCATAAAATGGGACTTCACAAACTTGTGAATCTTTTGTGTGCAGCAACGAAGCCTTACAGGCAAGCATCTGCGCAGGCAACAACACCGGCACCAACGCCACCGCCATTAACAGCTCAAGTCCATGCGTTCCACGAACAAATAACGGAGCTCAAGCTTACAATGGAGACGCTCGAAAAGGAGAGGGACTTCTACTTCTCAAAGCTTCGCGATATTGAGATACTGTCTCAAACTCCAAGCCTTGCAAAAAGCCCGGTAAGGTTTTCAGTTTCCTCGTCTCTAGAGACATTTTATGATCAACGTTCCTTTTTCGCAGGTGGTGATGGCTGTCCAAAAGGTTCTCTACTCGGAAGACGATGGTCCCTCGGTGATCGCTCAGGCTCAAGCCATGATCCCGCAGCAGCAGTCGACAGCTCCGGCTGGACCACTGCAAACTCCTAGAAGCGAGAGCGTCGACAATCAGTCGTCGGCGCCAGCGTCCGAGGCAGGAGGTCCGGATGAAGACGATTACGACGCCGAGAGGAGACACGCTTCGATCGAGTCAGCTTTGCAACTCGACGATGCATCAAAAACTCCTCAAACAAGACAGGAAGAGCGGCGGAGTTCAATATTCGATCTTGACGACTCGATCTATCAGCTGGAAGACTCGTCGTCGTCGCTGCTATCTCCCCAGAGGCCACAACTCTCGTGCTCCACCGAGTTCTTGCAGATGGGATCGCCAGTAAGCGTCTGGTAGCACGAGAAAAAACGAGGAAAAATTCATTTTCTTGCTAGGAGTTTTTAGAACTCTTCTGAAATAAGGAAGTCTGTACTTTGCAGACTTCTCTGGCCAGGCGGAAAAATCAATAAAGCAGAGCTTTGCTAAAAACGAGGATGCCAAGTCGTCCATGTAGGTGCCGTACAATCAGCAAACATTTGACAGCATTGACCAATTCACAACATGAATTAGAAAGATAGAGATTCGAATAATAGTTTTTATCAACATCATTTTCATTAAACCATTACAGGAAATGTAAAATTTTGATAGTGGAACATAAAATCACAAGCTGTGCTAAAGAAACCTGGGAACCTTTTCTTGGTCACAAGAGAGAAATTCAGGAATTAGGTTTGCAAGTTTAATTGAAAGCACCGGAAAATTTTGTGGCTATTGTTTTATGGGCTTTCATAAGCTTGTGAAAGTGACATTGTTTCGATTTTAGGGCTAAACAAAGCTTAATCTTATAAGAAAAAAGAGATTAAAGATTTTTTGTTAAAGTAAGTGGTAGTAAATCCTGTTTTTAAGGTGATTACTTCAAGTAGAAAGGTGATGTTTATAAAATTCAAGCTGATTATAGGGAATGCATATTAAACATTTGAAATGACAAATTATATTTAGCCTGAACTTGATTAGATACTAAACCAAAATAATTGCCATATTTAGATGAAAGTTATTAGAATATTCAATTCCGACCACACAAATATCTGTGGAAGTATGGTCTAATTATAGGTAATGGACAATTGTATTCCCTAATTCATTTGCATAGAGCTGCAAGAAAATAAAAAGGATCTGCATTATTTATCAAACTTTACTTATAAATCCCTTTATGAAAGGAAGATTACAAACCATACATTTATAAAGATGATTAAGACCAATTTTGATATGAGCAATATCAAAATCAAATAACACATGTATGGCTGTATTAAATATACTAATAATGGAAGAATATTGAAAAAAAATTTGGTCATATAATGAAAAATATTTTGGTCATATGTTTTTACCAAAAATATTAAAAAAGAAATATAACTTCAAATAATAGAAAAAGAGATCAACAATATTGAGAAAAGGACATCTTTTGAGAGCATGAAATTTAGAATAATATAATTTTTAGAAAAGCTAAATGCTTTATATTTATGAAAGAAAATATTATAAAAAAGAAACTAATAAATTGAGAGTTCATAGGCAAGGAACCCTCTATGCAAGCAGTTGAGAGCAGAGAAACTGGATGAAGAAGCAAAAGGATCACATTGCTTATCTCATGGACACTGGCACTCAATTGTTGAACAGTTCACAAGAGCAAGAAGTTAGCATATAGCTAATAATGATCAGCCTTTTGCATGGCAACCAAAAGTGTGCAGCGTCTTCACAATGCATAGTAAATGCAGGAAGTGGCCAAAGCTATCTTAGCGATCCATGTCTCGTTGAATGGGTTTGCAAGAGAATGACTAAGCTCCTCTTCTCATGATCGCTAGATTATGGTTGATTGAGTAGCAAACATTTTAAGCGTGGAATCCCGACTTTGCTAGTAGAGGCACAATATATCTCGCAGAGCGGGACTCAAATCCGGTAATGATTTTTTCGATCTTCCCATAGAGGTGAGGATAAAATATTTTAGCGTCCCCCAGCTGCTCGAGAGGGTCTTGGATTGGCGACATATTTCCTCTTCCAGAGCCTTCGCTATCTTCATCGTGCCCAAGCGATCCTCACACTCTCCCATCGCGACCGGCTGGACCGTTGATCGGCCCTTCCCCGAGCTTGTCAATGGCCAGGATGGGTCGCATTCCCCCGGGATTACTTCGATAAGTCTGTTATCACCCAGGTGAAAATGAAGAACCATGGCGCTGGTAAGAAAATTTAAAACAATTTCCTTGACCGATAGTTGAGAGGAATGGATGTATCTGGTGGCTGTCCATAACGCGACAGGATGGACGATGGAGATTCCAAGGCGGGGCCGTGCATTCTCCCCGTCTTGCGGTGGAGATGCGTCGCGATTCTCAAACATAAGGTCCACCTGACGCCCCGGAAAAAGCTTAGAGAGCTAAGACGAGAAGTTTTTTAGCTCTTAGATAGGCTATGGCGGCAGCTCCCACTCTATCTCAGGCTGCCAAGCTTAGGGTTTCCAGCGGCGTCTTCTCGTGCCCTCGGCATTGCGGACTTGGCGTCCAGCGCCTTGCATTCCGGAGCGCGTCCTCTCAGTGCGCCGATTTGGGATTCCGCCTCGTCCAGCAATCAATCGCGTGTGGAGCTTCTACATCCTCGACCAGAGGCGTTGTGTCCATGGCCGGATCCGGAAAGGCAAGCATGCATTCTTCTTAGTCTCCCTCTTTTGCTTTTTGGATGAAATTTAGGCTCATGGATCTTACATTAGTAGATTTCTTCTTCGATTTTGCTCGTTCTGATTCGATGCGTTCTTCTTTCCTTGACAGTTCTTCGTTGGAGGAAACTGGAAATGCGTAAGTAGCTTTTTCTTTTTGCGTTTTTTTTTTCTGGTGCTTCGTGTCTATCCACTGTGGGTGTTAACGTTTTCTTTATTGGCTTTTATAGAACGGTACCAAGGAGTCCATTGCCAAGCTCGTGTCCGAGCTAAATAGTGCAAAGCTTGAAAGCGATGTTGGTGAGTACTGTTGTTTATCTCGATAAAACAGGTTGTAACTCGATATATTTTTTAGATGTGGTTGTGTCACCTCCATTTGTCTATCTCGACCAAGTTATCGGGTCCATTTCCAATGGCATTGAGGTCTCTGGCCAGAACTCGTGGATTGGAAAAGGAGGAGCGTTCACCGGAGAGATCAGGTAGGCAGAAAAGCGATTTTATCTTGTTGTTCCTGTATTAATTTTTCTTGCCTGGTAGTGCCGAGCAATTGAGTGACATCGGCTGCAAGTGGGTCATCCATGGTCACTCTGAAAGGCGTCACATCCTTGGCGAGGCAAACGACGTAAGTCTTTGTTTAACTTGTTTTTTTGTTTTGGATTGATTTGGTCATCGTGTTTTCCTGTGTAGTTTATTGGCAAGAAGAGCGCTTATGCTCTGGAAAAGGGCCTCGGAGTGATCGCATGCGTCGGAGAGAAACTGGAAGAGCGCGAGGCTGGAAAGACATTTGATGTGGTCTTTGAGCAGCTCAAAGCTTTCGCTGGTATGAAAACTTGTTTCTTTTGTTTGTTTCGCTGAAGCTTTTGTTTTGCAACGTTACTCTCTTGTAGAGGCGATTTCTGGCTGGGACAACGTGGTCATTGCGTACGAGCCTGTATGGGCTATCGGTACTGGCAAAGTCGCAACACCGCAGCAAGCGCAGGAAGTTCATGCTGCCATTAGAAAATGGCTCACGGACAACGCATCCACTGAAGTTGCTTCGAAGACCCGCATTATCTACGGAGGTACGTGAATTCTCTTGCCCAAGCTTATCTTGTTTTCTCCAAGGTTGCATGATTGATGTGAGTTTTTCCAAGCTTGCATGATTGAAAGATGTCCATTTCACTTTTGGGCGATTGATTGATCCATTACTTAATTTCTTGACAGGCTCCGTGAATGGAGCCAACTCCAGCGAATTGGCAAAGCAGGCGGACATTGATGGATTCCTTGTAGGCGGTGCTTCTCTAAAGGTATGAGCTCTGTGAAAGTGGTGACAATTATCTTTACTTCTTGCAGGGGGCTGAGTTTGCAACGATCATAAACTCTGTCACGGCAAAGAAAGTGACCGTGTGAGGCAATCGAATGGAGGGGATTTTGTTTCTCGGTTTGCCTTCTTCACCCCAGCAGAGACCCCAAGAACGAAAGAAGGTAAACCAATGCAGTACTTACCAAAGACTATAATAAATAACTTCAAATTGAGAATACGTATATACTCGTTTATGACCTTTAAAATTTGAAGTGCTATGGAAATAGGGTAAAAAGACCATTACTGCATTTCTCACCTCATAACTGATGGTGTCCCTGCATAAGAATTGTGCACGTAATCATGACTGAATTTATTCATTTGTATTCCCTGATATTTATAATATAAACAGCTATCTATCTATCTATTTAATCACAAATTAGTATTGTATAAGTATAATTTAGTATCTAAAATATTTTCACAAAAGGCATTGAATTTACAAGAAAATGAAAAATCCAATAAAAGTAAAACAGGTAAGATATTATTAGCTAATTTTAGAGATTATATTTAACTTATCTATATAAGAAGTGAGATTATATGTATATTATATTAATGTCATAAACTATTTTATAATGTGGCATATTGTTTCCAACACCAAAGCCAAAGTATTGGGAATCCCTCCCTCACGTCGCGGTGGCACATTCGATCGAAGAAAATAGCCTTGGCCGCCCAGCAGCCCTCACGAGATCCACCGGGAAATGCCGCTCTCTAGCCCTGTGATCGCCCGACATTGCTCTCTGGGAAGAACCCAAAGTTTTGGTTCTTGCAATCATAGGCGACCATTGATCGCGGGCGATTTGGATCTTCCCCAGATGGCTGCAAGCCGAGAGGATGGTGATGAACGACACAGGATCGATCCTCACTCCACCATCGAGCGTGGCCTCGTGGAAGAGATGGATGTCTTGCTCAGTTTGGGCATATGCTTCCATCACGCAAGATGCGATCGTTTGACAGCATCCCGCAGGAGAAGTTCTGGACGAGTTTGATGCACGATTACGCTCGCAATGGCCGCGTGATCGAGGCTCGAGCTGTGCTCGCCGCAATGCCCACGAGAGTGGATATCTCCCGCATAGCCGGAGAGGATCGCGTTCCAGGTGAAAACGTTCCATCTCGACATTTGCTGCCGGATCTTGAGGGCGTCCTCCATTCTCCCGGATATCAAGTCCCTTGTGGGCATTTGGTGGTGGATCGCCATCGACATGCCCGTCCTGGGCATAGGCGGCAGCGATTGATGTAGGCAACTGTGGCATTCGATCAAACAGCAGCTTCGCTCTGTCCGGGATGCCGTTTTCCATCAGCCCATTCCAAGGCACGAGATTCTACTGGGGGAAAACATCCTCTCGGCCTCTTCTACAAGGCATAGCCCGACACTATTGCTGTCCACGAATCCAAGTCCCTCGTCACCATTGTCTCAAACACACCTCGAGCCTCCACCAAATTCCCGATTTGCATGAAAGC